CTCAGTCAGCCCTGCTTGGGACAGAGGGTGGGTGTGCGTGCCTAGATAGGCAAATGCTACTATTTTCAAACCTGCTTGATTTGGCGGGTCAGAAACAAGCACAACCAGCAAGCTGCCTGCAGGCAGATTAAGCCCGAACCCTGGGTGGGGGGGACACGGCCTTCTCCAACCAAGTGGCCCTTTCCGGGGCCAGGGAGCAGCCTCTGGCCACGGGTCCCATCCAGCAGAGGTTGGTGGTGCCCCCTCTTCGGTCTTCCAAGTACCTGGTGCTGGAGGGACCACCCTTTCCATCCTGATGCTGCGCCCGCAACCCACCAGGTTATCGCTCTCAGATCATCGTGGGAACGGAATTCAAGCAGTTAAGTTAAGGGCTGAGGTGCTAACCACACGGCTCAAGGAAAGATGCCATTTTAAAAGTGGATCTTAAGCAACCAACAGGAGGTTTCAGGGCCCGGGTGGGCAGGCGGCGAAGCCAGCGGCACCCAGCTTCGTGTCCTTCAGGAATGCAGCTTCCTCCGGGACACTGCCCCACGCACTCCCTCCGCCTGCCTGCCGCGTGGGCTCCCTTGGGGAAGCCCTTAGGGAGCCTCTCACCCTCCACGGGGATGCCAGCCGGGTGGCACCTCGTGCAAAGCACAATCGGGTCACACTGCAGACAGAAATGTGCGCCTTGCTGCCACCCGAGGGAGGGGTGCGGGCTGGGACCACGCGCCTGCGTGAGCGGTCCCCAGAAGGCCCATTGCCTCGGGAAGAGGTTAAAGGTTACTGGCTGGTTAGCCGGGGCCACCCGGGCGCTGCGGGAACCGCAAGGCAGGGCTGCGCTGGCAGGAAGTGGCAGGGTGGGGCCGGGTCGCAGGGTCCTACTATCAGCAGGGCCTGCGGCCCAATCACTGACACCCACACAGCCATTTCCTGTGCTTAAAAAAAAAATCTGTTTCTCTCTGTGCAAATCAACAACTTTTACCTAGAAACTCCGCGGCGGTGAGCGGCGGTGAGCTCTGACTGATTTCCATCTCGGGCCGTTGCAGAAAATACACCGTTGTTTACCTGGGGGAGGCGTGTGCCCGTGCCGGCTCCAACCGACAAGTTTCGGAGGCCGCCTGCGGGCCTGTTTTGCATCTGCCTGAAGGAAACCAGGTTTTCTCGGGCCCCAACCAAGACACCTGCCAGCTAGTTAGTACCTTGATAGACCTTTCTAGAAAAAGACCTCCAGGCACAAAGCACTTGGGCAAGCAGAACAGGACAAGCCCTGGTCCGCCTCCCGGGCCCCCAGGGTACCCTGCGGCTGGGACTGGGGGGTAGGAACAGCAGAGGGACCCCCAGTGAGCCCCAAGGACCCTTGGGGAACCTGGTCTCTTCCATGGCAGCCCGTGGGGTGAGGGCCACCTCCGAGGGCACTGCCAGCTTCCTGCCAGGACACCTGGTGAGGCAGAAGCCCCCTGCCATCCACGCAGCCTGGAGGGAGTCCTAGGCTTGGGGAGAGGGGTCGAGATCTCCCCCTCTCCGTGTCAGATCACAAACACACAAAGCACATGCCCAAGACGTGCAAGAGTGGCTCCGTTTTGGTGCAGCCAAGTCCTGAAACCCACCAAGTGTTCACACACACACGGCCCCTGGATACCCTGCGGGCGCCCCAGCGTGGACTTCCAGTCTGTGGCGCCACAATCAAGCCATCTGTATTTGCACTCTTCCAGGAACACCCTGAAGGGCCCTGCCCGCGTGGCCCGTGGTTATCTTTCTGCCCATCAGACCTCGATCGAGCTGTGAACAAAACACAAGTGGCTCTCACAGAGCCCTGGTAGCTGTAGCCTCGGGGACCCGAACGCCAGCAGGAGCTGCTGTGACTCGGACCCAACCCCACATGTGCAACTGTGCAGCCGCGACCCCAGAGACCCCGACACTGTCCTGCCAGCCCAGCTTCCCACGGGCTGACGCTGCAACACAACAGATCCCAGCACACCTGCACGCCCGCGGGGAATGGGCTCCCGCAAAACCCTGCACAGAACCGGCCATCGGGCCCCGCACAGAACTGGCTGCTGGACCTGCACAGGACCAGCAGCTGGGATTGTGCCTCGTTCTCTTGGGGGAAGCGCGCCTTAAGGGAGAAGGAACTCGGGTCCTGACACGCCTTCCAGGGGACCAGCAGCAGGACCGCATCTGCAGGTGTCCCTTGCAGGTCTGGGTCCTGGCCGCAGAGGCCATGGGCAGGCAGCCTCAGACCCTCCTGCCGTGCGTGGGTTCCACTGGCGAGGGCAGAGATGGAGCAGGCAGGAGAGCTGTGCAGGCCGGACAAGCACAGCGGGGAGAAGGAAGGATGGGACAGGCGGCATTCACGGGACAGGGGCTCGGGGACAAGGCTTCACACACTGTGTCTCTCTGCTCCACACACGGCTGGTTACCCATGCCCACTTCACGCCCTCCCAACCCTGCTCAGCCATGCCAACACTCCCCTGGCATGCACACAGCCCCTAAGAACAGACAGCACAGCTACTTCAGGGTGCCCACTGCCACACGGCCTCCCTGGACAGGCTGGGCCAGCAGGCCGGGAAAGCACGCCCCCTCCTCACCAAGCCGAGGCGGTCCTGCGTTTCCGTAGGAGGCAAACCCAGATGTCGGATCGGCCGCTTCCCACCTTAACCGAGCCATTTCCCTGGCGGGCTGCCTCTGCCGCTCAGGCTGGCCTACCCCAGGGGTGAGGAGCCCGGCCGGGGGCCTGTGCGTGGGAAGCAGGCCCCGAGTGGTGCTCGCATGGGCACCTGTTGCCAAGGTCCAGCACGGGGTGGCCAACGTCCTTAGCAATCCCCTCAAGAGAGACAGACACCGGCTCCCCACGCACAAATCATCACCAAAACACGACTTAGGACAAGGCCAAGTGCAGGCACGCCAGCGGTGCTGGGTGTTAGCGTGCAGCCATGGCAGGCGGCATGCTGGGAGCTGACGGCGGCCCACGCCTGCACCTACCACCCAGCAGTGTGTACAGTGCGGAGGCGTCCGGCTCGGACACAGCTTCTGCGCGAAAGAACCAACCGAGAGAGGGGCTCAGGCCCCGGCACGCTTCCAGAAGATGCTACCCAGGCACCCGCCCCTTCCCAGGGCGCTCCACCCCTCCACGGTGGGCTTCTCGCTTCTGTTGGGGAGAAGGGGAGTCAGGTGACAGGTCAGGGTGAGACCTGGGCCTGCTGCGTGGCCTGGAACAGCACACAAGACCTTCCTTACTTCCTGTTCTGCTTCCTGCAAATGGGCATTGTGCTGCCCATCCAGGCTCATGGATACCAAGTGGATGGAGTGAGAGGAAGGCTGTGTGTGTGTGTGCTGGGCAGCTGGTCCCTCCCCTGCTGCCGTGTGTGTGTGTGTGTGTGTGTGTGTGTGTGTGTGTGTGTGTGTGTGCTGGGCAGCTGGTCCCTCCCCTGCTGCCGTGTGTGTGTGTGTGTGTGTGTGTGTGTGTGTGTGTGTGTGTGTGTGTGTGTGTGCTGGGCAGCTGGTCCCTCCCCTGCTGCTGTGTGTGTGTGTGTATGTGTGTGTGTGTGTGCTGGGCAGCTGGCCCTTGCCCTGCCACAGGGCAGCAATCGACCCAAAGCCCCCGGCCCCGTTGGAGCGCCCACTCACACCCTGGCTGCTGCCGTCTAACTGAACCAGGGGAGGCAGCGGTTGTGGGGGCTGGCACAGGGGGACCCAGGGCAGAGGACAGCCTGGGAGAATTCTAGAGCAGACCCCAGCTGGGCTCAGGCAGGTGGGGGAAACTGCACTCGGCAGGCACTGAGCAGGGGAGTTCCTCCCTGGGGCCCAGTCGAGGCCGTGTGGTCGCAGGCAGGTGCAGTCCCATGCAAACATGTGCATGCCTGCGTATAAGTGCCCTGGGCGTGCACACGTGAGCACACCTGGGCGCCCCCTGCATGTCTGTGCAGATGTGCACACATGACTGCGGGTGCCTGTGCAGGCAACACGTGCATGGGAGAAGGTCGCGTGTGCCGGCGGGAGGCGAGTCGGCTCCCATGCACAGGGCCACACCTGCCCACCGGGACGTTGTCCATGGGCCCTGGGAGCCACAGCTGCTGTAAAGGGGGTTGGGTCTCTGTGTTTCGTGCTAACAGCCCCTGCTGTGTGGCTCAGGGGAGTCACTGCCTTACCCCCTCCCCCGCCTCTGCTCACGAAGGCTGGCAGCACAGTGGGACTCCCTGGCCCCCTCCCAGGATAAAGGGCTGGACAGCCCAGGTGACGGCAGGGGGAGGGGCAGTGTTTCCTATAAGAACTTCCTCTCTGCTTATCTCCACCAACAGGCAGGCCGCGTGCAGGAAGCCTGGCTATGGACGCGGTGTGCTGGACGCACGGCCCTGGGGCGGCATGGATGCCACGGCCATGAAGCAGAGCCCAGGCCAGGTGTCAAGGAAAACCCAAGTTCGGGCTGCAAAGTGGACACCACCTTCCTTCAGAGCAGCTGCCGGATGCGACTGGGAGTAGGTGGGGCCACAGGAGGGCACCCCGGCCAGGCCTGTGGGCTCCGACACAGAGCCCAGCACCCAGGGGCGGGGCCAGGAGTGCAGGCAAGAGACGTGCATTGCACACAGACACACACACTGCGCTTGCCCCACGGCACACGGAGGGGACAGGACGCCCGTTCGCTCTGCGTGCACGCCCCCGGCACCTGCCTTGCTCCAGACTGGGCTGAGACCACGGGCCCAGGTCCCCACATCGCACTCGCCCCCCCGCTGGGCTGAGACCACGGGCCCAGGTCCCCACATCGCACTCGCCCCTCCGCTGGGCTGAGACCACGGGCCCACGTCCCCACACCTCACTCGCCCCAGGCTGGGCCGAGACCACGGGACCCACGTCTCCACACCGCATTCATCCCACGGTACGCGGAGGGGACAGGATGCCCCCTAGCTCTGCATACATGCCCCCGGCGCCTGCCCTGCTCCAGGCTGGGCTGAGACCACGGGCCCACGTCCCCACACCGTGCAGCTGGGCAGGTAGGCCGCTGCGAGAGAAGCAAGCGTACTGACCGCTGGGCGGCTTAGGCCGTGGCGGAGCAGGTTTCTTCGGAGGCAGAGCGGGAGTGTCCTGTTTACTTTTAAAGGGGTCATCTGGGAATCCTGCCCCTGCCACGGAGGACGTGAAAGGCCCGGAGGATGTGGGCTGCAAGAGAGGACACGAAAGACAGGCAAAATGGTTGTTAACGCCAGAGCGCCCCACACCAGCCAGGCCCACGATATGAACCCAGAGCACCCCACGCCGGCCAGGCCCACAACGTGAACCCAGAGTACCCCACGCCAGCCGGGCCCACGACGTGAACCCAGAGGGCCCCACGCCGGCCAGGCCCACGACGTGAACCCAGAGCGCCCCACGCCAGCCAGGCCCACGACATGAACCCAGAGCACCCCACGCCAGCCGGGCCCACGACATGAACCCAGAGCGCCCCACGCCAGCCAGCGGGCCCACGACGTGAACCCAGAGGGCCCCACGCCGGCCAGGCCCACGACATGAACCCAGAGCGCCCCACGCCAGCCAGCGGGCCCACGACGTGAACCCAGAGCGCCCCACGCCAGCCAGCGGGCCCACGACGTGAACCCAGAGCGCCCCACGCCAGCCAGCGGGCCCACGACGTGAACCCAGAGGGCCCCACACCGGCCAGGCCCACGACGTGAACCCAGAGCACCCCACGCCAGCCAGGCCCACGACATGAACCCAGAGCGCCCCACGCCAGCGGGCCCACGATGTGACAAACATTAAATCAGAGCGCCTCTGACAGTGGCCCTGTGACACAGGAGGGCGCCGACTCCTGCTCTGTGCACGCAGCCTTCAGGGCCCACCTTGGCTCCCGTGCTGACTGCGGGCTCGGCGTGGACCCTGCGTCCCATCTCCCTGAGCCATCACTCACTGCCTGTGCTCAGTGACGGGGGCTGCTGCGGGCACAGTGACCCCTTGCAAGCCCAGGCCATGCTCCCTGGCTGTGGCCACAGACACACTGCCTCCACGGGTGCTGACCCCCTCCAGCTTGGCCCAACATTAGCCTCTTCTTTCCCATCCTGCATGGTCTCAAGCCCCAGGCAGGACGCTGCAGTCCAGTGGCTGAGGAAGGGCTACTGGCCGGCAGGCGCATGAGCAGTGAGCAGGCAGCCGGAGCACAGGCAAAGTGCACGTGGGCCATGCCCACGCCTCGCTGTGGCCTCTGCGCCCAGGCCTCCCACCGTTTCCTCACGTGGGAATGGCACAGTGTCCACTTGCACAGAGTACAACAGAGACAGATGACACTGGCAGAGGCAACAAGTCCCTGCTCGGGGGGCATGGCAAGGACAGGAGGCCTTGGAGGCTTGCAGGGCAGCCAAGATGCCTGTGTGTGCTCCTGGTGGAGCTGGAGCCAACCCAGACCCGACATGCTGCCGTGGTGGTCAGGGAGGAGGGCTCAAGTCCACGTCCATGTCCCCGCCATGGCTACCTTGCGAGAGACACGGGATGCAGGTGCAGCCCCTCAGGGTGTCAGCCCGGCCCTGCCCAGGGTCCGGTGCAGCAGGGCAGGGTGGAGCGTGCACACACAGCGGACCTGCTGGCTCTCCTGCAGGACCTGTCGCCCCTTCTGCCCAGTGGCCTGAGCAGCCCCCAGAGCAGGCGGCGGATCCAGTGTGTGGCACTGCAGGCCAGTCCTGCCCTTGGGGCACAGCTGGCAGGGGGACCAAGCCACTTCTGAGACGGCAGGGTCCACCTGCCCATCAGTAACCATGACGACAGCGCACTGCTCCAACTCAGGGTGGGCCTCAGCCTTCACTGGGGTGGGGCTGCAGGCACCCAGACTTGGGGCGTCTCCCTGGCAGATGAGGGGGGCTGCATCAGGCCAAGCAAGAATCCACACCCTGTCCTCCACAGGTAGCGCACCAACCTGGGGTCACAGTGAGTCAGGCTGGGGGAGGGCTTACGGGGAGCAGGGGAAGAGGGGCTGAGGGGGAGGAGGGCTGAAGGGGAGGAGGGGTACAGGAGACACCCCTCTCTGGAGCTCAACGTGCACCGCACCTCTGGCCGGACCCCAAGGCAGAGCCTGGACAACAAGGATTTGCAAGGTGAGGACTTAGCCACTGGGCCATTGCACTAGGCCCCCCTCTGCTTATCTTCAAAGTGTGCAGCACAGCCCTGGGGCTCTTGGGATAAAGGAACAGAAGGGTCGAGGCCCGGCTCCGAACCACCAGTGCACTCTGGGTTGCATGGCCAGGTAGTCCCCAAAAACGCAACTGGAAAGGGGGGCACAGCGCCACTGCAGGCCAGGCGGAATCTAGAAGCATCCCCGGGTGGGCGTGGCACTGCACGGGCCGGGTCGCTGGCTGTGACCTGCCTTGGCAGGCTGAGCAGGCACTGCCGCCCCACCCTGCCCACAGGGGAAACGCTGGCGATGTTTTCAAAAAATACGCAAAGAGAAAACCCAAAAACACTCACACACACACCTTCTTGCCACTTTACTTTCATTTCCTTTGGCATTTTATTTATACCCTCGGTGTTGTTCTTGAAAACCAGAAAAGCGACCAAGAGGGAAAACAGCACCACGCTCGAGGCGGCCGGTTCGCAGCTGCGCTGAGCCCCAAAGCCACGGCCCCACGCCCCACGGCTCCACGGGCACGGCCCCACGGCCCCATGGCTCCACGGACACGGCCCCACATCCCCACGGGCACGGCCCCACGCCCCCACGCCACCACGGGCACGGCTCTACATCCCCACGGCTCCACGGGCACAGCCCCACGCCCCCACGGCCCTGGCCAGCAGCATGGACACGGCCCCATGCCCCCCACGGCCCCACACCCCCCACAGCCCTAGTCAGCTCTAGTCCAGCCCCGCGCCCCCACGGCCCCGGCCAGCTCTAGTCCAGCCCTGCACCCCCACAGCCCCTCATCGGGGCACAGAGAGGAGATGGCGGCCTGAGCAAACTCCCAGAACAGGTGGCGGATCCAGAGTTCGAGGATATGATGTGTAGCTGTGTGTGGCACTGCAGGGAAGCCCTGCCCTTGGGGCCCAGCCCTGTGCCCTGCACAGCAAGTGAGAACCATGGCACCTATGTGTGCCAAGTCTGGGGGTGCCCCAGAAAGCGGGAAACACAACCGAAGGGGAAGCAGGCAGAGAGGCAGGGAAGGGCTGGGCTGCCGAGGAGGACGGAGGTGGGGCTGGGCCGGGGTGTACCCACAGGCACTTGGTCCACACTCGAGAACCACTCTGGGCAGGCCGCCCTGCTACAGCTGTCCAAGACACTCATCCAGGTGGCCTCCGCATAAGTGCTTCTAGAAACAGGCCCCTGTCCGGGCTCCAGCCACTGCTGTGCCTCCTCACGGCTGAGGGGCTCGACCTCTGAGCCAGCCTAGGGACCACAAGGCGTGAGCCAGAGCCTGGCAGCTGGCCCCCTCCCTGGGATGCTGCTGCCCCCGTGTGGCCACGAGCTCTGATTTGAGAGCCACTCCCCTCCTTTGCATCAGCCACAGCGGGAATCCTGGGCAGGAGGAGCCCTGCCCCGGTCCCAAGGGCCTGCCACGCTACCTCCCACATACTGCTCCGACACCCCAACATCAGCCCGGGTACTTCTCCAAAGCCCTGTGCCACCGTACGGTGCCACTGCAGCCAACCACACACAGAACAACTGGCTCTGTGGGCCGAGCGGGCCGGCGAGACGCTGGGCACAGGTGCTGCAGGGCACCCAGAGGCCCCACGCCGGGGTCTGAGCTCCCACGGCTCCACAGGCATCGACACAGCCAAGCAGGGGACAATTCCCAAAGGACAGCAACTGCATCTGAGGGACCACTACAGTATGCCCCTTGCCACCCACACACAAAGCCACAGCTATGGACATAGCGGTCCCATCGCCTTCGGAGCCCAAGCCCACACGGGGGAGCTGGCCTCAGCCCCGGCTGCAGTGCTGGCAGCCCCTAGCACCAGCTCAACTCCCAGCTAATGTGCCTGGAGAGCAGCAACTAGACTGCCGAACTGAGTGGGCCCCTGTGGGCACCTGGATGGGGCACTAGGCACCTGTCCTGGATTAGCAGGTAGAGCATCTCGGTCTAACTCTGAGAGACAACTCACGCTGTGTCCCGCGGCTCTGCCCCCTCCCTCCCTGCAGGCCAACAGCCGCAGACGAGCCTGGCCGTCTGGGTGACAGGCTGCCAGGCCCCCAGCACCGTTGGGCCTGAGTCCTTGGCCAGTGCGGCCACCTGTGGCCCTTGGGGGCACAGTGGGTGCTGCTGCTGGACACAGGGAGCACGCTGGCCAGCAGCCCCCGGCCAGCTGTCTGGCTGCTCCTGCTGGAATGCCTGCACCTGTCCATCCGAGCCCTCCGGATTGCTCGTTCGCTGAGGTTACCCTTGGTCCCGCTGGGCCCTGCTGACGGGCCGTATGCACACAGCTCCCGATGCCTTCCCGGGCACTGTCCTGCCCACGGGGCGTGTGGTCACCGGCTCCTGGTCCACTGACCTTCCCTCTGCACGTCTACCTCCTGATCAAGCCCTCAAGCCTCCCCCGAGCCCATTCTGTCCTGCAGCCGGCAGGCCTGTGCTATGCATCGCCTCGCACTTCGGTCGACTGTGACCCCAACTGGACCTGCCAGTCACCCTCTGCGAGCCGCCTTTCAGAGGCCGAGGCACCGGGGAAACACAGACACAGGCTACCATCAGGCCTGGCAGCCCGCAGAGGCAGAGCACAGACAGGCGGGCAGGCGGGCGTGGCGCCTTACCTTGGACATGTGGCTGAAGTCGGCAAAGCCCTCGGCACTGCTGAAGGTCCCGCTCCCGAAGGGGTCCAGGGTTCCGAAGGGGTCTACAACAGACACGCGCGACACCCAGTCACAGGGGTGTCGGCGGCCACACCTGCGGGGCCCTGGACTGGGGGCTAGGGACGTGCGTCTGGATGCAGCGTCCCCTGGGACCTGGCTGGCGGCTCCTGTGGCGGGGTGACAGCCACGACAGCAGGCTGCACAGGGTCAGTGTCACTGCCCGTCGGTCACCAGGGGAGAGGTATTTCTGTGTGTTGGGGGTCCCACACCCCGGGAGGGCGAGCACCAGTGGGGCAGTGTCTCCTAGCGGTCCCCTCTGGGCTGGCAGGGATGTGACAGCTGCCCGTGTTCCCCGGCACCAGTGAGGCCCCATGGGAGGGAGAGGACCAGGGCTCCTGCGGAGGCATGCCTGCCCAGGGACAGGAGACACTGTGGTGCCACAGAACTTCCTGGGACGGCCCTTGCTGGGGAAGAAGGGTAGCCAAGGGTTGGGGCTGCTGGGTGACCCAAGTGCCCAGTAGGGACACGGTGGCGGTGGGGCTCACCTGGGCCTTTGGAGGAGACGCTGGAGGAGAAGGGGTCGCTGGCTTCAAAGGGGTCGAGCTGCGTGAGAGGAGAGAGGCCGGAGTGAAAGCGCAGTCCACTAGTGCCAGACCGCCCCGGACTGCTTACGGCCGGTGCCCCGCCGGCAGCCTGCTGGCGCACCAGCACCACACAAAATGCAAACAAAGCCACGCTCTGGAGGCAGGAAGGGCCCAGGGCACGTAGCCGCTGCAGGGGAACGCAAGGGGGCCCGCGGACAGACAGGAGGCCGAGTCTCCAACAGACACTGCGGTGTCTTAGGGCCAGCGAGCACGGCCTGCAGACAACCACAGCTGGAGGGTAAGGGCGAGCGAGACCCTGCGCTCCACACGCCTGCCAAGTGCCCGAGTCTCCTGGGAAGGGGCGCACGCCGTGGCCCTGTGCAGGAGGGCGAGCTCACTGCCTGCTCCGCCACAGCACGCCAGGTGCTCTAGGGGATACACAGACTCTGGTGTCTGGCACAGGGGCCTCCCAGCCACGGCACGCGGGCTCTCCTGTCCGGCACATGAGGAGCCAGTCTGGGGAGCCCGCCAGCCCGGCTGCAGCAGCCAGAGCTGAGTCAATCTGAAGCCAGGAGCCTCTTCCAGGTCTCCCTCGTGGGTGCAGGAGGCTAAGAGCACTTGGGCCATCCTCCACTGCTTTCCCAGGCTACAGGCAGGGAGCTGGGTGGGAAGTGGAGCAGCCAGACGTGAACCAGTGCCTCTATGGGAAGCTGGTGCCTGGAGGTGGAGGATTAGCCAGTTGAGCCAGCACGCCAGGCCCTTTCCAGTCATTCTAATCATATTTTCCTTTATCGCTTAAAACATAGTTATGGTCCCTGTTTTAAAACTTTTCTGGGGCCTGGCGCGGTGGCCTACTGGCTAAAAATCCTCACCTTGCATGCCCCTGGATCCCATATGGGTGCAGGTTCGAGCCCCGGCTGCCCCACTTCCCATCCAGCTCCTGCTCGTGCCCAGGAAAACAGCAGAGGACGGCCCAAGTGCTTGGGACGCTGCACCCGCGTGGGAGCCCGGCAAAAGCGCGTGGCTCCTGGCTTTGGACCGGCCAGGCCCTGGCCGCCGCGGCCATCCGGAGAGTGAGAACGTGCAGAGGAGACACCTTTTTCTCTCGCTGTAGCTTTCTAATAAACAAATGTAAACAAAAAACCCCACTAGCTTAAGCTAAATAAGCAAAGATGAAACAAGTCAAAGTGAAGCCAGAGCAACAGGAACGACTCGATCTGAAGGAAAAGGACAAAAAGGCGACGGGGCCTCGGCCTGGGCGACAGCAGCGGGGCCGGCAGCAGCGCCTGGCTCCCAGCGGGAAGGACGAGGTGGTGCACAACATGGTCCTTGAAGGACTCACCCCCAAACCCAGCACACATGGTGAGAACCCTAACACAGACCAGGGCAGCCCAGCCCAGACCCGTGGCCAGGGGCTCTGTGATGGTGGGCAGGCCCTGCCATGGCCAGGAGGGCCCCTGCAGGAGGCAGCCCAGCCCAGACCCACGGCCAGGGGCTCTGTGAAGCGGGCAGAGAGCAGCAGTAGCTTCTCACCAGGGACACCCTGGGGACCGTGGGGACGGGAGCACGGGTGTGCTGCCCAGGGCACGGATGCCAGCACAAGAAGATGACCCCCGCGTGGAGCGTCACCATCAGGAAGCTGGGCCGTGGGCAGTGCGAATACCCGGGTCAAGGTGCAGGACGTGTGTGCGTCTTCCTCATCTAAGGGTTAAGCTGAGCACTGCGGCTCTTTGAAGAACAAAAAGGACAGGGGTGAGGACGGTTAGGGGACTGCTGAGGCCTCCACGCTCTTCACGGAGGGCTCCCTCTTGGAACCCCACTCCTGTGCTTTGTCCTGAGGTTCATGCGTGGGAGGGTGAGCGTGGGGTGGGGTCTCACGGAGGATGATCGGGTCGCAGGCTCCACCACCCGCAGGCCTGGATGCTGCCTCCCCGGGGAGGGTGGCCCTCCCACGCGGGCCGTGGCCCATGACACACTTCCCTCCCTGCGTCTCCCGCACACAGCCTCTAGACCCCGCAGCACGTCAGAACGGTTACAGCTGCAGGAGGGCGGACATGTCGGTGGTGGCATGGTGGGCCGGGAAGACGGCTGGCTCAGAGCGGGCCTGTCTGCACCCGTGGGCTGCTCGGTCCCCCTGCTCCCCGGGGAAGCCCCTCAGCACGCAGGCCGGAGGCCTCACATCCGGCCACGGCCCACGCGGGGAGCAGCAGAGTCCCAGGCTTGCTCCGTGGCGGGAGGCCGGCGCCCCCACGCTCACTCACCTTGGCAGGCAAGGACGCGTTCTTGGCGAACGGGTCGGTCTTGCTGTGTTTCCTGAAGAAGTCGTCGGAGGCGGAGCCGCGGAACGGGTCGCTTTCTTTGAAAGGGTCCCCCCCAAAGGGGTCTGGTGGGGGGAGGGAAAGGGACAGTGAGTGAGCAAGCCGGCAGAAAAGCACGCTCCTGCAATGTCGTTGGCGGAAAATTCTAGAAAACGTGTCAAGTGACAGGAAGTAGGGGGTATGCAGGCAGCAGGCCCAGGCCTCTCATAGCCGCACGTGTCCGTCACACCTGAGCCCACGGGTGACCTTCACGGGGGGGGCCGCGTGCTCCCGGGGACCCTGCACATGATAGTCAGCTGGGGCATGAGCGCACACAGGCTGGGGTCCCCCTTTAGTGGGCCGGGGCTCCCCTCTAGCAGGGGCAAGGCTCCGCAGCACTCAGGGTATGAACGAGCGCGTGGACACCAGTCCTGCCAGGGGCACGGGTGGCCACGCTGCTGTGGACTGGCCTCCCGGCTGCCAGGGGCCATGAGGATCGGGCATGGCCAGGTTCCTTCCAGAACTGCCTCTGGGATGGTGCGGTAGGAGTGCCCAGGGCAGGGCGCGGGGGGAAGCTCTCTCTCTCTGCTCCTCAACTTCACCCCGGGTTGGCGGCACCTTACCTGTGGACGTAACCTGCTGCTCTGCGAAGGGGTCGCTCTGGAACGGGTCACCTAGACGCGCAGGAGCGAAGGGCTCAGTTAGGCCTGAGCCGGGAGGCCAGCACGGGGGCAGGCGGCCCACCTGTCAGGCCCACCGAGGACTCCCTCCCCAGCACTGGAGCACCCTCCCCCAGCTGCAGGAACCCTGGCAAAACCACTGGCAGAGGTGGTTCTTCGGGGCCAGGACACTGAGGTGAGGGCAAGGCTGGGGCAGAGCCAGGGAAAGTGCCCAGAGCCCCGGGATCTGCAGGTTGGCACGTCGGCTCATCTCACAGTGCCTGCCCTGGCCTGCTTCACCTCCAGGAGCCGAGACACCTGTACCCCCAGCTCCCCAGCTCCCTAGCCCCCGCCCTGCCTTCCCAGACATGCACGGCCAGCCTTCCTGGAACCACTGCTAGGAAATCCTGCTTCTGGAATTCTCTGCTCTGGCCACCTCACTTCGCGGAGACTGCTGAGCCAAGGCACATAAGGGCCGAGGTGGGTGCGGGCCTCCACAGCCCTGAGCCCTGCCCGCCTCCACGGGTAGCCTGACCTCTGGCTGGTGCCTTTGAGGGGGCACGGCTTGAAGGGGCAACCGAGCCTCAAGCAGGCGGCACTCCCCATGCGCACCTGCAGCACGAGCTGGGGTGACTCCCAGGCGGCACGGCCTCTAAGACCCCTGCCCACCCTCACCCCGATGGGGGTCTTCCCGGGCTCTCCCACCGCGTGAGGTACCTTTGAAGGGATCCGCGCCTTTGAACGGGTCGGACTTGAAGGGGTCTTCGGTCTGGAAAGGGTCCGGGTGCAAGTCCTGGGTGTTGTTGCTAAATAACAAGGCTTTGTTTTTGAAAGGGTCGTCCTGGAAGTTCATGAAGAGACAGCACGGGAGGGGGCAGGTTATTTCTGATCTGCAGCAGCCCGCGTACGGAGCGCCGCATCGAGTGTGGCCCTAACGGGAAGGACCCCACACAGCCGGGTGAGCCAGGATGGCCTGCGGTCAGCTACAACACTCCACACTGGCTCACCCAAGACGTGACAAAGGGAGAGACTGGCCGGTAGAACCAGGTGCCCTGCCCTCACAGCTCATCCAGAAATCTAAAACCATCCTCAAATGAGCCAGTGTTGGGGTACAGCAGCCCACAGGAGCACCAGTTCAAGTCCTGGCTGCTCCACTTCCGATCTAGCTCTCTGCCTGTGTAGCTGGGAAGGCAGTGGAGGGTGGCCCGAGTGCCGGAGCCCCTGCAGCCACGTGGGAGGCCTGGAGGCAGTCCCGGGCTCCTGGCTCCGGACTGGCCCAGACATCCCTGATATAGCCGTCTGGGGAGTGAACAAAAGGATGGAAGATTCGATCTCAGCTCTGCCTTTGAAATAAAGTAACTCGAAAGAAATCGATGAGAGTCCTTCGAGGGGCACAGTCCCAGCTGAATGAAGGCACACGTCCACCCACTGGCGTGTGGCCAACCGTGGCAGAGAAGGTGAGCCACACAGCCACCACAGCACAGGCCGCCCCCAAGGACACAGCCAAGGGCAGGAGGACAAACACGGCGTGACCACACGTGTGGGTCCCCAGGGCAGTCACGTTCATTAGATGGGCAGTGAGGATGTGGGGGCTGGGAGGGCTGCGAGTGGGGACTGACCGGACGGGCAGCTCACACACGGCTCAGAGCGGAGCACGCTCAGTGTGTGTGCGGCAGGACGGTCACCCTGGGCTGGAGCGGGGGTTGAGCTAACTGCTCCGGGGGCTCCCACACTGGAGCCCTGCTTTCAGCCCCGACCACTCCCAGCCAACGCATCTGGGGAGCAGTGGAGCAGGGTTCAGGAACCCATCGCCCAGGCAACTGGAGACGTGGCCGGAGCCTCTGGTCCACACCTGGTGAGCCGGCAGACGGGCCAGTGTGCCCTGCACCTCCCTCACGCTGACGCTCTGCCTCTCAAGACAGATCCTTAAAAGTCACCGTTCCGGATGTGTGACGCTGCGAGGGTCTGGGTTCCAGCCCTGCTTCCACCCAGGACAAAGCCCCAGAGGGAGCGCCTGGCCAGTCCCCGGCTGTTGGGGGACACGCGGGGGAGCCAGTGCAAGAGGGGTCTCTGCCTTTCTCACTCTTTTACGTAAATGCTTCCAAAAATCACTGTGTCAAAAATGAGGTTTTTGGAAACGCTGAGAAACACGAAGAGCCCAGTGGTGAGAGCAGCAGCGGATGCCAAATGCCCCACGCCACGAAGCCCGCGGACCGCCAGCCCGGACTGCTGCCAGGGCACACGTGGTACTTGGCGTGCTCACCTCAGAAACAGACAAGTGCACTTAAACCAAAAGGGGAAAAAAAAAATAATAAATCTTGGAGGACCAGGCTCGTGGGGTGGCAGCCAGCCCAGGAGGGGGGCAGGGTGGGCCCCGGAGCGACGCGGCACTGGGTCCAGACATCAGGGCTCTGTCCTGGTGACCAACACGTGCTGCCTCCCCGTGATGACACACGGGCCATGGGCAACCCGTGAAAATCGCCACACCCAGCAGCAGAGGGCATCTGGGCATGCGCAGCTGTTATCTCGCCTGAATCCAACATCAGGTGTGTGCGTGAGCATGTGGCCAGGACCTCGGGCTCCCAGGGAAAGTTTCCCGAGAGAAGGCCATTTTCCTGCCGTCACCAGCGGGGGCAGCCAGTCTAAGGGTCGGCTCACGGCTCCAGGGGCCACTCCTGGGCCCAGCAGGGTCTTGGCTAAGTGAGACAGCAGGCACCTGGGCGATGGTGGGCGTCACGGCACTTACACCCACAAGGTGCACACGTCCCCAAGGGCGCGTGACGGGGTTCTCGGTTGCCGAGATGCACATGTACAAAGAAGCCCAAGGCGCGGAAGCCGGGGCCGGGGACGGGAGGCCCACCTCACACAGCGGCACCCAGTGCCTGGCGGGCTGGAACACGGCCTCAGCAGGGACGCCCTGTTGGCTTTCATTTGATGTCGGTTTCTAAGTTTTGAGGGAGAGAGGCTACTCGGGAAGCTGCCCAGTCACAGGGCAGGAGGGAAAGAAGAGATTCCAGGGACCCCACGGAACCCCGGCACTGCACCAACGCCTCTGGCCCCTTCCCAGGGGAAGTGCGCTGACTGCAGCAGCCAGCAGGGGGGCGCTCCAAGCCCCCTGCAGATGCTGGGGCGAGGAGAGCGAGCCCTCTGCCCAGTGTGCCGACCAGCGGTCACACATCACCCACGGATGCGGCTCCCTCTAAAACGAGCCACGTGACCGTCAATGCGCAGCGCTGGGCCCGCTGCAGAGGGATCACTCCTTCAAGGTCAGCCACCGCCTCGGGCCCCGGGACTGCAAGGACTGAGCAAGTCTCTGGACACTCTCCTTTGAGCCGGGCGCCGGGCTGAGGGGCCGGTGGGCCAGTACTCAGACGTGGGGCTCCTGCCAAGTGCCGTGGTGGGAACAGCCCTGCCCATGGCTGAGCCACAGGCTCACCCGTTCCTGCCGAGTAACCACGCGGGCCACTGGGGCAGGCCTGCCAGGAGTGCCTGGCAACCTGACGACCTTCCTGCCCCGGGGCTGCCTGGGCCCCGAGCCAGAGCCCCGGGTTCTCTCGGTCAGAAGGGAGGCCAGATATCCTTGATTCTCCAAGTGCCCAAGTCTCCTAGACGCAGCCCCTGAGGGGTGGGATAAACAAGATGGAAGCTTCTAGATGCACCAATGGTTCTCAGGCCGCCAAGCAGAACAGGCCGCGTGCGCCCTGCCCCAGAGCAGCCTCACGGTGAGCAGGACAAATGTCCCTTCCAAGCGTGTATGAAGGAATGGAAACGAATCAAACAAGGCTTTAGACACTGTATTTGTACAACCAACACGATGAGTGAGAGTCCTCTCGGACCTGGCTCACAGGTTATGTAACAGCTCTGAGGTCGGCGTGCCAAGGGTAAAGACGCGAAAGATGGACGAAAAATGAGATGAGCTCACCAGAAAGGTAGGAAACCCACGGACGGAAACAAGCACCAAAGGAGAGCCCGGCCACCTGCGAACTGCCCTTCACCAACAGCTCCCCACCAGGGAGACAGTCGTGCCAGGGGGACCGGGCTGCCAGGTGCGGGCACGCACACGGGGAGCCCGGGAGCACAGCAGGGCATCCAGGTCCACCATGCTCAGGGCTGAAACGGAGGACAGGCCTGGGAGACGGGGTCCTCGAATCTCCTGCTGACACTGCAGGGCAGCACTTGCAGCGCACAGGCCGGGACGGGGACAGACAATGACACCGAGAGAGCCTTCCAGGCGGCCCAGGGGGATGAATGCTCCCCCGCAGGATCTCAGAACACAGCGCCCGGCGCAGGGAAGAGAAACGCGGGGTGCACCTGGCACAGAGAGCAAGAACGCAAGCCCGCGTGCCAGGGCAAGGAGGAGGGGTCAGGCGGCAGCAGGGCTCCGAGGAGAGCCCTGGAGAGCAGCGCCCCACCAGCACCCCACCTGCACCCTGGCCACACTAACTGGGAGCCTGCACACCCGGGGCTCGGGGCTGTGAAGGCACATGCTGGCATGAGCAGAAAGATGTGGCAGCTGAGCAGACACTGACACCCGCATGGGGGCCCAGACACACAGAAGAGCAACCCGTCACGCCCACGGCTGGATGACAGCCCCAGACAGCCGTGTGGGGGAGACACCGAAGAGTACCCCGTCACCCCGCGGTTGGATGACAGCCCCAGAGCTGGGGGTCTGACGGAAAGCACGGACTCAGCAGGGCTGGAGGGCTGCGGCGTTGCCCGGATCTCTTCCCGCAGAAGCCCGTCCCCACCCCCATCCCTCAGCAGACAGTGCGCGGGCCACCCTGGGCCACGGCCGGGGAGTCTGACAGGGGCTTCTGCACTGGGGGGCAATGCTTTGCAGATCCCACCCCCTTGGGCCACAGGGCTGGCCCGATCACACAAAGTGACAACAGACACGAGCCGCTGCGATGCGATGGGGGGGACCAGACCCATACGGGACAGTAACACTTATTCAACTTTTACCATGGCTCCGAAACCGCCCCGCTCTGCCAGGGAGATGCCTTCACTCAGGGTGGCCAGGTCGGTGAGGCTGGCGCCATGGGCCCCGTCCAGGGCCTGGCTGAACTGCTCCAGGCTCCGCTGGGCCTGCTGCCGGCTCTCATGCAGCTGGGAGAGCTTGCTTCTGGCCTGCAAAGACACGGCGGGCATCAGGTGGGGCTCGGCAAGAACAGCAGGTGTCCGGGATGCTCTCGCTCCTGCCGCCCTGCCCTGGGGAGGAACGCGCCCAAGGGTGCAGCGACATGCGACCCAAGCCACTGCTCAGTGACAGCTCTGCTGCCCACAGACAGACATATCCCCGCTGGGACGACCAGCTCCGCAGTTGGTTCACAGCCAGCAACCATCTCCCAGGACGGGCCTCTAACTGTGTGCCCCAGCACAGCCTGACAGAGCCCTGTGCGCATGTGGAGTGACCCCCGGGACCCCAAGGATGGGCCTCTATAGACTGTGTGCCCTAGCACAGCCTGGCAGAGCCCTGTGCGCATGTGGGGTGACCCCCGGGACCCCAAGGATGGGCCTCTATAGACTATGTGCCCTAGCACAGCCTGACAGGGCCCTGTGCGCATGTGGGGTGACCCCCAGGACCCCAAGGATGGGCCTCTATAGACTGTGTGCCCTAGCACAGCCTGGCAGAGCCCTGTGCGCGTGTGGGGTGACCCTGGGAAGAGACCTAACTGTGTCCTGTCTCCCAAAAGGGGCCTGAGAATGAAGGAGGGACTGCACAGGGTACAGCAAGCTGGGCTGCCACCTGCCATGCCAGCACTGCCAGCAGAGGCTGTGTGACCCCAGGTGCCCCACTTTCCATCCAGCTCCCGCTGGTGCACCTGGGACAGCACTGCAGGACGGCCCAGTGCGTGGGCCCTGCACCCGCGTGGGGCACGGGTCTGTGTGGAACACAGGTCTGTGTGGGACTTGGGTGGGTTCCTGGCTCCACCCTGGTCAGTGCAGCCATCTGAGGCATGAACCAATTACGCTTCCCTGCAAATAAATTTTAAAAAAAGTTCCTGCAATGACTGGGTAATGCGGATATAAATACACAGCCACCGTCATGGCGCTGTCACCCACAGCACCGCTAACACGTGACCGGGGACAGGCCATTGTCACCCACAACCGCTAACACGTGACCAGGGACAGGCCAGTGTCACCCACAGCACCGCTAACACATGACCGGGGGACAGGCCAGTGTCACCCACAACCACTAACACGTGACCGGGGGACAGGCCAGTGTCACCCACAGCACCGCTAACAAGTGACCAGGGGACGGTGAGTTCACAGACGGGCTGGCATGGGGCAGAGTGTGTGAAGTTGCTGGCATCTCACATGGATGCTGGTTCATGTCCTGGCACCCACAAGGCAATGCAGGCCTCTGGCTGTGGACAGAAGAGGCACAGGCCAGAAAGGGTGTGTCCCAAACCCCAAGTTTTTGCCCACAGTACAGGAAACTTGAAGTCCTCCCGCAGCTCCCACTGGCTTTGGGAGGCGATGCCAAGCTATTCACACATCCTGGGATTCCCTTAGGGCGGGCATCAGCACTGAAGCCCCAGGCCAAGTCCTCAGCTTGCCAGGAGAACCCCTCCAGGCTACAAGGCGGGAAAGAGCAGAGGAGACCTTAACAGCCATCCAGCCCACGGGACAGCCCACGGGACAGCCCACAGCAAGGCCCCCACAGCAGCCATCCAGCCCATGGGACAGCTCACGGCAAGGCCCCCACAGCTGCCGGCCACTGCACCTGGCTGATCTCGTCCTGCGTGGACTTGAGGGATTTGATGATGGTCTCAAGCTGCACGCGGCCTGCCTGGATGCTCTGCTCCAGCTGCGCCTCCTCCTGCTGCAGGCGGGCCAGCTCCGACTTGGCCCGATTCAGGTCGTCCTCCTGGGACTTGAGGTCAGACTCCTGACACTGGATCTGCGTCTTCAGCGACGAGATCTGCCATGACAGGGAGGGCGGCTCAGGTCTCACTTGGGGAGCAAGGTCCCCCAGGCAGGCGGGTACCTCACAAAGCGCCATTCCTATGCCCAAAACGGGTATGCCAGCGAGACTGCCAGCAAGCTGGTGCCTTCACGGGAGGCCTGAATGGTCCAGGACAGGGGCGGGGCACCCCGGGCAGCACACGCAAGGCCCTCACCAGCTGGGTCTCGCCCTGGCACTTCTGCCGCACGTCACTCAGCATGTCCCGGAGCCTGGCTTTCTGCTGGTCCATCTCGTCCAGGCGGTCCTGCGCATCCTGCTTCTGAGCCTCGAGCTCCTGCAGGCTGCTCGTCTCCCGGTCCAGATCATTCTGCAATTCCTGGGGAAGAATCGCAGCAACAGACACGAGATGAGCTCGCAGCCCGGCCTCCTGGGCACCCAGCCTCCCAGCCCACCCCCAGCACCCGGACCCCAGCCAGGACAGTGGGCACTGGGGGGCTCCCACGGGCCGCCTGTGCCCACAGCTCCCATGAAGTGTTTCCCGGTAGGGAGAGGGACTCCCTGCTCCCCAGGGACACAAAGTGGTGGAGGGAGACAGCTCTCAGACACAAACAGGAGTGGGGCATGGCCTTGCAGAACGGACCACGACAGAAGGGCTCCACTGAAGGGCAGAGTCCTGCGTGGCACTGTTGAGAACGGGGGCACCACTGGGCTACGGTTAGGGTTAGGTTGGGGAGCCTCCTTGTAAGGGTGTCAAGAGGTGGCACAATGGGCCAGCATGATGGCTCAGTGGGTAAAGCCTTGCCTCACACGTGCCAGAATCCCATACAGCACTAGTTCATATCCCGGCTGCTCCACTTCCCATCCAGCTCCCTGCTTGTGGCCTGGGAAAGCAGTGGAGGACGGCCCACAGCCTTGGGACCCTGCACCCACGTGGGAGACCCGGAAGAAGCCACGTGGGAGACCCGGAAGAAGCTCCTGGCTCCTGGCTTCGGATCAGCTCAGCTCCGGCCATTGTGGCCACTTGGGGAATGAATCAGTGGACAAAAGATCTTTCTCTGTTTCTCCTTCTCTTTGTAAATCTTTTCAATGAAAATAAATAAATCTTAAAAAGAAAAAGCAGGTGGTCCGACTTCTCCAAGTGGGACTCAGCAGCCAGTACTCGGGCAGAGACAACGCTGTGAAGGGAACCTGTGGCTGCCCTTGGGAACATCGGGACATCGCCAGGGCCCCTCAGCAGGGAGGCGGCTTTGTGTGTGTGGGCAGCAACCGGGCAACACCCAGACGGGGTCTGGCGTGAGCCCAAGGTCACCTACCACTGGGGGACGCCCCGTATGTGGCACAGCCCACTAAGCTGCCACCAGGGAACCCCAGGATCCCGCATCAGAGATGAGCTGCAGCCCCGATGCTCCCCGCGCGTCCCCGTCACCCCTGTGGGAGGCTCGGAGGCAGCCCTGGCCTCTGAGTGCAGCCGGGCCCAGCTCTGGCCGTGGTGACCGTTTGGGGAATAAGCCAGCACAGATGGAATGTCTCGATGTGTGTTAAGTCAATAAAGTTAGTACAGGGCCCAGGGTATATTCAAACACAAACACATACTCACACTCAGAGCCCACTCACACGAGGAACGGGACAACCCTGCTTGTCCCCAACAGATAAACATGCTTGAAGGCAGCAAAGACGCGACTTGAGCGCAGAGGCCACGCGGCTCTATGGCCAGGGAGGCAGAGCGGAGACACACGGGGCGGGGGGAACAGGGGGCAGAGCGAAGACACACGGGGCAGGGGACCGCGGGGCAGAGAGGGGCACTGGGCGCTGGGCGGGGGGACCGCGGGCCAGAGCAGAGACACACGGGGCGGGGGACCGCGGGGCAGAGAGGGGCACTGGGCACTGGGCAGGGGGACCACGGGCTGTGCAGATTCCCGCTACAGGGGCAGGAACGTCCAGGAAGCCCTGGAGGCGTAGGTGACCGGGTTGGAAGCTCCAAGTGGCATCCAAGGTGTGCGGGGAGCCCGCACCTGCAGTGGCCTCTGAGAGCTGGAAGGTCTAACGAGAGCAGGCCCTGTGCCCGATGGCACCCCGAGCAGCGCCCGCCCCGCAGCTCTCACCTGCACCTCGCTCGTCTTCTGTCGGATAGCCTCCTCCTTCTCCCGGATGTCCTGCTCCAGCGAATACTTCTCTCTGTTCACGAACGCGTCACAGAAACGAGCGAGTCAGTCACGCCGTGGACACAGTTCCCCACTCCTCCGCGGTGGAACGGGCCTGAGGACACCCCTGCAGAGGCCCCATCGCCCGGGCACCCAGGAGGGCACGGAAGCCAACACCCACCGGGGCACCCACCCAGACCCCACGCCCCAGGGGACGTGGAGAGGCCCCCTGACTCCTGCAGCCACTGGCTACTCCAGGACTTCCTTTCCTCTGAACACTCGTGTGTCTCACGAGGAGCAGGACGCAGGGGACACGTGCACCCCAGGGACGGGCAGACCACCCACCTCTGCAACTGGGCGATCTCCTGGCTGATGTCATCAAGCTCCTTTACGCCCGTGAACTCCCCTGACCCCAGGGAGCTGGAACCATCCTAAGGCCACAGCACACGGCAGTGAGCAGGGACTGGGGCGCGCACACACACACACACCCCTACAGCTGGGGCACGGACACACACACACACACTCTCTCTCCCTCGCTCTCTCTCTTTCTCTCTCCCTCCTTCCCTCCCTCCCTCCCAGGGTCCCAGCCAGGACAGTGGGCACTGGGGGGCTCCCACGGGCCGTCTGCGCCACCTGCTGGCGAGCGGTGTGAAGCAACGCGAGTGGGAGTGGAGGCAGTGGGCAGCAGACTCACCGGGCCGGCAGTGCCTCTCTCTGAAGGTGGGACCATGTCCGGCGCAAGGACTTGAGGGGGGTCGATGCCTTTACTGACCTTCTGCTGAATGAAATACATAGCTAACGCGAATTGGTCTTTGCTTAACTTTCCCGTTTGCCTCGTATCGGCCAGGGCCCTGGGAGAAACGCGGGGTTACACATCAGGAGCCGCCGGGCCTGCCCCGCCGTGAGCACAAGCCAGCGACCCCGGCCCGGACGAGAACCAAGGCCACCCACACCGGCACTTCTGCTCATTTCCGACGAGTCTCAGCGCGCCCACCCCAAGACGTCCCCCCCGAGGGAGGACCTAGGCTGATGAGGGGTCAGAGGGATGCAACCCCGAGACTTCAGGCCGGCACGCCCCTGCCCTGTGGGGCTGGGTATGCCAGGGGAGGGCACGCCCAGCCCCTGGCCTGGGCCCGATCGCCATGTGGACAACCCCCTGACTTTCAGAGCTAAGGCCCTGGCCCCATGCGACCGGCTTGGCCGGCAGGGCCTCTGAGAGTGCCTGGCATGTGAGCTGTTTCCCTGTGGGAGAGACCTGGGCCGTTCTGTGGTGTGTGAACACGGGCAGAAGGAAGTGGGAGGCGGGCCCTCATCTGCTGGCACCAAGGCGAATCCCGAGCTGGGACTCAGGAGCCACTCGCAGTGCCTGCAGCTCAAGCTCCCCGTCTCTGAACGCGGCCTCTCTGATGGGCTGCGGCTCCCACTGGTGAGCATGAGAACCAGGACTGGGGGCGGGCGTGGCTGGACAGATGGTGGCACCTGTTGGCATGACTGTGGGCTGCAGGCTGCAGTTGGTTGGGCTGTTAGGCATCAATGCCCAATGACGTACACGAGATCTCAATGGCATGTGGGGCAGACCGGACCAGTCCGCTGCACATGCTGGCAGGCACAGGAACCAGAGCTGGGGGGCCAGTCCAGCGAGGGCCACTGCGGGTCTCTGGCTGGGCTGCAGCTCCCCCTGGTCTAGGTGCGGGCTGGGCCACAGCACCCATAGGTTTGCAGAGGAAGGCAGGTAGGACAAATTGATCACCTACTCGGGCGAAGCTTAACAGCAAACCTCTGGGCGAACGGAGACTCGGAGGCGGACTACGTCAGCCTACAGACCTTGGAAGAATTTCCTCATCCTTAAAGCAGCATTTCAACAGCATTTCAGAACTATCGGAACCGCCTGCCCAGAACCCTCGGAAAACGCTGCGCCACGGGGACCCTGGATGACTTTGGGGGCCGTTCCCCGTCCCCGGGCACTGGGGCAGCTGGGGGGCTGGAGCAGCTTCTCCCCTTGCCTCCCCTCCACCCCCAGAAACAGGAAGAAGAAAAAGAACACGTGGAGACAACGGTCTCGCCCGCTTTCCCCTGACTCCCTTATCAACTACATAAACCTCATCGAAAATCAAATTAAAAAAAAAGAAGACAAGGCTTGCGTTCAGCTCGCCAGGACGTCTCCTCTGGCCAGTCAGCTCCCCCGCAGGTCCCTCACGGAATCCCTCAGCGGGTAGTCCCCCGACACACACAGAGCCTGCAGCAGGTTCTAACGCGTGTCTATCGATTCTCGTATTTCATAGAGATGCCCTCTGGCACTGGTGTGCTCCCAGCTGCCTGCCCACAGCCAGGGCTGCGCCAGGCTTGAAGCCAGGGCCTGGAGCTGCAGTGGAAGGGCTCGGGAGGGGTGGCAGACCCATACTCTGCCACAGGGTGTGTGACAGCAGGAAGCCAGTGGAGAAGGGGCATGGTAAGACTTGGAGATGGCATGTGAGAGCCAGCTGGGCGTCCCTGGTCACCTGTGAGCTGCCGTGCCTGGACGGTCACTTGCCCCAGGCTGCTTGCAGCACTCCGTGAGGGGTTCCCCTTACAACTGCCCGGGAAAGCCTTCGCCCAGGCCCCGGCGATCTGCGGGAGAATCTGGAGAGAGACTGGGCCCAGCCGCTGGCCGCAGTGGGAACAGGCCCTGCCCTGGCACAGCCTCACCCTGACGGCCCGACACCAGGCCCTGCTGCAGCCACCCGAGTCCCCAGGTGGGACTCCCGCGAGGGGCCAGGCGGAAGTCCAGCATGGAAGGCTCAAGTTCAGGTCCTCAGACCAGCCTGGGAGACAGCCGGACCCTCCTTACCCCTCATGCCAACCCTGGGGACAGCAAGGGATGCTGGACATGGGGCCCACGGCAGGCGGGGAGACAGCCGGGCCCCTGCTGACCCCTGGCACCTGCGCCCAGCCCGGACACCCGCTCTCAAAGGCCCCCGCGCTCACCAGATGTGTGCCAGCAGGTTCTGCGTGAGGCCCGAGTGCATGAAGATCTCCTTCACCTCCTGGCCACTCACGTAGCCGTCCAGGTCCAGGTCGGTCTTGAGGAAGACCTCGTCAAAGCGCATCTTGTCTGCCACTGGCACCACCCAGGTCACGGCCGGCTGAGGGCGGTTTAAGGGGAGCCGTGAGCCAGTGCATCCCGGGCCCTGCCAACGCGCAGCTCTGCACAGCAGGTGCCCGACTGCGGTGTCAACACACCACGGACCCCTCCCACGCGGCCCCCTGCCCTCGCCTGTCGGGGGGCAGAGTCCACAGGTACCCCAGCCTGAACATGGGGACAAGCTGTGGGTTGTGGTCCAGGCTGGGGTCCTGCTGAAGCCAACAAAGACCGCCCCAAACTTGGGAAGGTGCCTGCATGTGCAGGTCACTCAGCGAGGGGCCAGGGAGGCGAAGGTGTGCCCACAGGAGGGGGGGCGAACACCATGACCGGAAGCGGCGGGGCCTCAAGGCTGGGCCCCCCATGGCACATGTGGCTCAGGATTCCCTTAAGAAAATGGCAAGTGCTAGCACTGGCGGAGGGGACACGGGGCCCAACTATGCCCGACTCAGACAGGCCAGGGGGCTCCCCAGTAACCGCATCCTACCAGGGAGGACTCAGTGAGTGAAGTGGGGTCCCCTCCTGGGTCTCTGCACCCACTGAAATCACAGCCGCTCATGAGAACGCAGACGGCCAGGTTCCAGGAGGCCCCGAGCATGCTCAGTTCTGTGACACAGCACTCAGCTCTGGCACCTCTGGGTGGCCTCCGGCAACTGTGCAGGGTGCCGTCACTTGGCACTCTCCAGGGAAAGCCAGTGCGCTGGGGTGGGTGCGGGGCGGGGACGACCCAAAGCCACGCATCAGTGCCACAGGAGGGCAGAGGATTGCCAAGGAGACCAGGAGAAGCCATAAGGGCGCCCGCCCCATGAACACGGCTCCATCAGCCCTCACGCAGAGGGGACCCCAGGGCACCTGCCCCATGAACACACAGCTCCCACACAGCCCACACACAGAGGTGCTGGCAGGGCCGGAGGGGCGGCACTCCATGGCCAGGTGCCCCAGAGGCCTTCGGCAGGGCAGGCTATGCCCAGGCAGCCCTGGGGCGGGGCCGGGCCTGCACAGCGGCAAGGCCAGCCTCCCTGGCTGGGATTCTGTGCACATCCCACCAGCCACTCCTGTGCGGACAGGCACCCTCCGCACATCGCAGGGCCCTCACAGTGCCAGGAGCTGCGGGCCAGCCGGAGCTGCCCTCACACTGACTGGGGAGGGTCCTGAGGCTGTGGGCATACACTGCTGCGCCCAAGGAAGGGACCGGTCTCCCTGTGGATTTCGGAAGTGAACGAGAAGCTCCCTGCTCCCCGCAGGGCCCCCGCACCTGCGGCTGCCGGACGCCGTGCTTGGGGGACAAGCTGCCCGTGCTGTTGAGGCTGCTCACGCTGCCGTGTGACGGCGTGGAGCGCAGGCTGTCCTTGGGCGGAGGGCTGGCGGGCAGGACGGGCACGGCGCCTGGGAACACCGTCTTCTTCCTCTTGGAGGGCGGGATGAGGGCGGGCGGCAGGACAGCGGGCACGGGCTCCTTCTCGAGGGCACGATAGACCAGGTGCATGGCCTGTGGGCGCAGGGGAGAGTGGCACTGAGCTGACCGCGCTTGGAGAACCACGGGTGGTTGGGGCGCCCTTGGTGGGGGAAGCTGCACACGGGTGGACGTGTGGACACACAAGGAGAGAAAAGAGAGGGGCAGCAGCAGGTGCCAGCCTCTCCCAGGTCTCCCACGCGGGTGCAGGGTCCCAAGGCTGTGGGCCGTCCTCCACTGCTTTCCCAGGCCACAGGCAGGGAGCTGGGTGGGAAGTGGGACTGCCGGGACTTGAACCGGCGCCCACATGGGATCCCGGCTCTTGGAGGTGGAGGATTGGCCTGCTGAGGCATGGCACCAGTCCCATAATATGCATTTTTCATAAATGGTTTGAAGACTTTTAATATGCAAATTTCAAGTTTCTCTCAGATTTCATTTGAGATGCAAATATATATACACATATATAATGTGTATATTTATACATGTATATCTATGTGTACACGCATACCTGTGTGTACAGACAGAAAGAGAGGGCACTTCTCCAGGTTAGTTCACTCCCCAGGCACCCACAGCACGAGCTAGGATCTCCACTTGGGCTCCACATGCTGGCAGGGGTGACACTTCCCGGGCACAGCAGCGGGGAGCCGGGGCAGGGGTGACACTTCCCGGGCACAGCAGCGGGGAGCCAGGGCAGGGGTGACACTTCCCGGGCACAGCAGCGGGGAGCCGGGGCAGGGGTGACCACATCCCGGGCACAGCAGCGGGGAGAGCAGGGAGCCAAGTCAGACGCCCAAGCTTAGGGTTAGGACTTTAACCCACATCCCCAGTAACGAGATGAGCCCCAAACAGGCCCTTGAAATTTTTTTCCAGAAAAAAGCTTATCATTTGACCTGACTTTCTGGAGTAATCTTGCATGTGGAATTTTGTCGGAATGAAGCCCCTTCCCTCCCCCTGCGGGGTCTGCATTCCCTCCCCAGAAGCCGGGGTCGCAGAAGGCCGTACCACAGCAAACTCGTCACGGTCCAGGTGCCCGTCCTTGTCAATGTCACTGAGGTCCCAGACCTGCAAGAGGAGACAGGTGGTCGGCGGGCTGGTGTGGGGGCAGCCCAGGAGGAGGGCAGAGTGCCCCCCAGAACGTGGGTGCAGAGCCCAAGGTGCCGCAGCAATGCGGGTGCTGAGGGAACGGGCTGGAGCTTCCTGGACAAGCCACTGCCTGATGGAGCATCGTCCACTCCAGGAGCAAGGCACAGCACAGCCTAAGGAGCCTGCCGCCACGGCCCAGGCCCACCCTGAGCCACGCACAGTGCCCGCATCGTGCCCAGGCCAGGGCAACACCTGCAGAGGCCCAAGCTCACTCACCCGGCCCAGCACGTCAAGAGGTAGCTTGGAGTTCATGAGGACCGGCTTGACCTTGTCCCCGGACAGCAGGCCGTTCACGGGCAGGAGGCTGTCGAAGATCTCGTCAAATTTGGTCTTTTCTTCTACCTGGTTGCACAGAAAGGGCCAGAGTGAGTCCACGCGTGCAAGCTCTGGCCCGAAGCTGAAGGAAGGCGGCCGGGCAGCCCCTGGCCCTTGGTGTGGCGCACGACGCTCACAGAACAGCCCTCAGCATCCACCAAGGCCTTGCTCTGACATGCAAGGAGCCGAGAGCCACGGTCAGCGAGAGAGAGGAGCTGGCCGCAGGAGCTACAGGCCGCCCCGGGACTGGGGGCAGGCAGAGCCCTTGGCCAAGCCTGGCCGCATGCCAGCAGGACCAGCCAGCCCGCTTGCTGCAGCATCTCAGGGCAGGAACATAGCATCGCCGTCTGCTGACCAAGCACTCCTTCACGGAGTGCACGCCACGGGGCTGAACCACCGGGAGGGGAGCACAGCAGGGTGGGGCCTGAGCAGAGGCCGCGTGACACGCCACACTCACAGGGAGCCCCTCGCAGCCCTGTCCCCACACTGATCCCCCTCTGCCAGCGTGCAATCCTCGACGGCCAGGAGAACAGGCAGGCCCGTCTGTCGCCCCTAACAACGGGCTAAGAACATCAGTTCTTCCGGCACGCTGGACTGAGAGCCTGTGAGACCGAGGGGCAGGGTGGGGGGTGGCCTCGTGGGACGGCCGCTGTGTCCTGTGCTGACCTCTGCACTCTAGTTGTGCTGACTCTAGCAGCAGGAACACAAGGCCAGCCACAATTCCGTTTTCAAAACAAGACTGCACGTGCCAAGGAGCTTCTCACAGCAGGGAGTCAGGGGCTGTGGCACAGCATGCTAAGCCTCCACCTGTAATGCCAGCATCCCACATGGGCACTGTTCATATCCTGACTGTTCCCCTTCCCATCCAGCTTCCTGCTTGTGGTCTAGAAAAGCAGGAGAGGACGGCCCGAAGCCTTGGGACCCTGCACTCGCATGGGAGACCCAGAAGAAACTTCTGGCTCCTAGCTTCAGATCAGCTCAGCTCCGGCCTTTGGGCCACTCAAGGAGAGAAGCAGCAATGGAAGATCTTTCTCTCTGTCTCTCCTTCTCCTTAAATCTGCCTTTCCAATCTAAAGGAACGTCAGGAAGAAGACAGTAGGAGTAGGCTGTGGGTCAGCTACGGACGCCTGCAGTGAGCACGTGCGTGAGCCACCGCGATCCCGGCTGATCCCAGCACCAGGCCACGGAAGGACAGCTCAACGCCGGGCCACTCCCGCAGCAGCTCAGAGGGCCCCAGACACACGTCCTTCACGTGGCACCTTCCCAAAGCTTTCTCAGGCACAGGGGCTCCCCGCTTCTGGGCCCCACCACACCCCAACAGGGTGTGACAGGATGCTTTGAACACCGTGACAAGGCACGCGTGGGTCCAGCCAAGGGGCACCGTGTCACTCACCCGTACAGCCCAGTGGGCCTCTGTGGACGGCGGCGTGGCCATCAGCGGGCTGCTGGGGTCCTGCTGCAGAGACAAGTGGCTCGTGTTACACAGCAGCCGTGCTCCGGCCAGGGACACGCTCTGCCCGAGTGCAACCAAGCCCGGAACACAAACGTTTATGTCAGGGTGGAGATGACCCCACAAGCTCCGCGGCGCAGGTGGACAAAGGCACAGCCCACCCAACCACTGCAGCTGGAGCCAGACCGCATGCACGCCACATTCCACGGGAGCCCGGCTGACAAGGCCTCACTCCACAGGCCCCACGGCAAGCTGCCCACGGACAGAGCAGCGACTGGAGGACTGTGCGTGGCCACCAGGGCTCTCCTGGGCGGACAGAGCACGGACTGGGGGACTGTGCGTGGGCACCAGGGCTCTCCTGGGGGGACAGCAGGGACTGGGGGACTGTGCATGGGCACCAGGGCTCCTCTGGGGTGATGGCAGCGCTCTGGACCCAGAGGGGGACAGCCGCCAGCAGCATGGCTGTGCTGAATGAAGATACAGGTGCCCGCCGAGATGGCCCATGCCCAGGCCAGTGCCCCAGGATACTCACAAACTTGGGGGGTGGCATGCTCAGACTCAGGTTGCCCAACGTGACTTCGTGGCCGCTCTGCGCGCAGGCCACCAGCCTCAGCGCCACATAGAAACCCTGAAAGGCCAAAGCAGGACGAGGCGTGAGCTCAGGGCCACGTCATCCGTCCGCTGTGACAGCAAGGGCCTGTGAAGAGCTCCTCAGAGGCTCCTGCTGCACGGGGTGCCCCCGGGACCCCGGGCACAGAACACGATCCAACGAAAACAAACGTGTGCTCCAGAGAGGCAAACAGGGCCCACACAGCGGCCTAGCGGCTGAGGTCCTCGCCTTGCTTATGCCGGAGCTACTGCGTATCCCAGCTGCCGCACTTCCCACCCAGCTCCCTGCCTGTGGCCTGGGAAAGCAGTGGAGGACGGCCCACAGCCTTGGGACCCTGCACCCGCGTGGGAGACCTGGAAGAGGATCCTGGCTACCGACTCCTGGCTTCAGATCGGCTCAGCTCTGGCCATTGTGGCCACTTGGGGAGTGAACCAGCAGATGGAAGATCTTTCTCTGTCTCGCCTCCTCTCTATAAATCTGACTTTCCAATAAAACTAAATCTTAAAAAAAAAAAAAAAGAAAGAAAGAAAGGAAAAAGGAGAAGGCCCACTCCCACAATTCGGAGCCAGGCTGGCCATGGACAGCAGCAGTCAAAGGGTGCACAGGGGCCACGCAAGGTCTCCCAAGAGTAGGATGGAACAGACACAGGTGTCCACCGAGGCCCTGAACCGGGCACCCCGGCTGGCCAGCACGGGGCCAGGCCTGTGGCATGGCCTTGACCCAGCTCCCCAGGCCTCCAGTCCTTCCCACACACTTCCCACTGGAAGCAGCCAGACCACAACGCTAGCCTTTAGTCAGTCATCCGGCCAAGCTGGAGAGATTTCCATTGCTTCAAAGAGGTCATCGGAGACCCTCGAGACGGGTCCCACTCGGGCAGGCACTGGGCGAGGGGCACGATTTGGCCAGGACCCCAGGCACAAAGCACAGCGTGCCTCTCGGTGCCCACCACCAACCCATGCCCAGGGGACAGACGGGCCCTTCCTGCCCAACCTGGGAGAAGGCTGGACCAACTCACTTCCTGGCTCATTTCAAACCACTCGTGAGAACTGTAAAAATCTTAACTGGGCAACCTCAACGGGAAACTGACCACAATGCAGAAGGGTCCAGCGCCTGCCCGGGGAGGGGGGCAGCTGCGGGGCCAGGGAGACCTGTCCTATATCCTGCAGGGGGACATGTGTCTGCCAGCCAGGGCTGCTCACAGTACCACATGGACAGAAGCAGCCAGGCCCGGGGGATGGAGTGCTCAGCAGGGCAGTGCCAAGGCCAGGTCACTGCTCCCCTGGGCAGAGGCAGAGACACCCCAGCACCCTCCCAGCGCTGTGTGCCATTGCCATGAGTTCATGATGATCTCATTTCCAAGCTTTAAAACCATTTTCCCAACTGAGAAGTTGACAAACGACCCGACGGCAGGCCAACCCTGAGAGCTCGGGGTGCGGGCACACAGCCCCGTCATGGGTGTAATAACCCCACAATGCAATGTAATAACCCCAATGTAATAACCCCAGAGCGCAAGGGAACAGGAGCAAATGCTGGGAGAGCCTCAGCCGCCGCACGCAGCCAGGGACCTACCTGCTTGTCCAAGAAACCTTTACCTTCAGGGTCTGCCAGGTCCCATATCTGCAAAAACACAGAGGGCGACTGCCCATCAGGGCCCGTGTGCTGACCACCACAGGCAGCACAGGAACCGCCCCACACCGTGTGACACAGCCAGTCACGGGGCAGAGCCCGGACACCCTCCCAATGCCCCAGGCTCCGTAAACCAGGGCATGTGCCAGACGTGCACAGCAACGCCTGACAAAATCACGCGCTACCGAGACTCCCAAGGAGCAGGGGCGTGGGCAAGGAGCCGTGCCCACTCCCAGGAGCCACCCCCCCAGCAGCAGGGGTGTGGGCGGGCCCCAGCATCACTTACCTTCCCCAGGGTGATGTCTGAGAGGCCTGACTTCTTGAGGAAGAGCGCAGCTTCACTGGCCCCCACTCTCCCAGTGTGGGCAGGGTCCACCTGAGAAGACAGGGCCACGGTGGGCAGCCTGCAGCTGCCAGCAGAGACCAGGAGGGGACGAGGCTGCAGAGCCGGGCTGCAACTCCATGTCCAGCCCACAGCTCCAGCCGTACAGAGACCCGGGGCACCTACCTGCTTGTAGTAAGACTCATACAGCGGGTTTCCAGTGGGAATCTGTGAACAAAATCAGACATACCGGTCAGATGGGGACATGTCCCTACCGTCAGACACTGCCAGGACACACACTTCCTAAAGGGCTGGCTGCGGGACGCATGAAGCTGCTGCCCACGACGCCAGCACCCCGCACGGGCACTGGTTTCAGTCCCGCAACTTCCTCTGGGAAAGGTGGGGGAAGCTTCCCCGAGTGCTTGGGACCCTGGCACCCATGGGAGAGACCCGGGAGAGAGGGACCCTGGCACCCATTGACTGCCCTGGGAGAGGTTCCTGGCCAAGTCCTAGCTCTTCACTTCTGGGGAGTGAACCAGCAGATTAAAGATCTCTCTCTCACACCCCTCAGTAACCGTTTCAAATACATAAATACATCTTTTAAATGCACACACACACCACTTTGAGTGATCACACACCCAACGCCGGGCCTCGGCTATGCCATGAAGGTCCCTGCGGTTTAAAAATACCATGTGCTGAGTGATGGCCGGCCCCTGGGGGGGGGCAGCACCTGTGAGCGAATGAAGAAGTGAAAGTACAGAGCGAAAAGGACCACGGCAGAATGAAAGCCGAGCAGAGTGGCGCTGCAGCCGGGCAGTCTAACCAGGAGGGGCCTGATCGCAGACAGCAGGGAGAGCAGCAGAGCGGGGGCCCTCATAGAGCGGGGGCCCCGGGGTGCTGCAACACAAGGGGGACCCTGAACGGCAGACAGCTGGGAGAGCAGCAGAGCGGGGGCCCCAGGGGTGCTGCGACAAAGGCTCCAAGGACACCTGCTGTGAGAGTGGGCACTGTCCCACCGAAGCACCCCAGGCTCCCCGCTCTCACACGCAGGTGCCATCTTGGCCTCTGCAGCGTGTCAATGATTGACGAGGCTGTAGTGCCTCTGGCTCGCTCTCTCAGCTGCTCCTCCGGTCTTCAAACGTCCAGAGCACACACTGGGTCCTCCTGCCCAGAGCACACACTGGGTCCTCCTGCCCAGAGCACGACGCTCCTGTTGGCACGGCAGCCATGTCTGCACGGTGAGCAGCCGGGCTTGCTGGAAGACGGTCCACAGCGCCCGTAGCTCTGAGACCGGGTTCCAGGGGCAGGGGTGGGCCCTCCAGTTCTGAGCCCACCATGGCCGAGGAGCAGAGCCTGTCCTAAACCTGCACCCTGGGTGTGCCCTGCCAGATGCCCCTGGTGCCAGGACAGCAGTCCCCAGCTAGCCCGCTGCGCACTCTCGGCACCAAGCCCACCCATCAGGACGTCTCTCCAGCACGGCGCCACAGGGCAGCACTGGGTGCAGTGTGCAGCACTGCTAGGGTGAACACGGGGCAGCACTGGGTGCAGTGGGCAGCACTGCTAGGGTGAACACGGCTTCAGACCGGCTCAGCTCTGGCCGCTGCAGCCGTTTGGGAATCAACCAGTGAATGAAAGATCTCTTTCCCCCCAGCCACAGCCCCCTATCTTGGGAGACGCAGATGGGACCTCACCCACACCGGAACGCTGTGTGACCCTGGAGACGACCAACAGCCTCGCTGCTTCTGTTCACCAGCAGGAAAGCCAGCAAACAGCACACACGGCAGGGTCACCTTCACAGCCCAGCATGCCCTCAGAGCTGCAGGGACCGAGGCCAGGGCTGCGGAGCCAGGGCTCTTCCCCCTGGGGAACACTGGGCAACAACCTCTGCCTTTTCCACTGGAAAGCGTGAGGCTGAAGCGTGCACCCTCCTTGGACCCGGGGAAGCTAGCTTTCTGCGACTCAGGCCTGTGGGTTCCCGGCCAGGGTGGGACCTGTCCCCAGCGCGGGGAGTGGGCTAGGTGGGTGGGCAGGGCTGTCTCTGGAGCCCATGGTCCCACTGGGCACCTCACCTCCCTGGGTCCCGTCTCCCACTCCCCGCTGTGCCCTCTCCACACAGGCCCAGCTGATGGCCATGACAGCATCACCGCCAGCGGCAGACATATTGTGGGTATCTAAATAGTCGCCAAACTGTACACAGGACCTGCACCCCAACTTCACCTTGACACCGTCGTGGGAGACCTGGGGTCCCTAGTTAGAGGGTGGGGCTCGGCCTGAATAGCAAGAGGTGAGGGGACAGCTGTAATGAAGGTACCAGAAGGGAGGTCCTTACAGGGGACAGGAGGCGAGCACAGAGATGGGGAGCCAGAGAGGTGTCACCCACCCGTTCCCAGCGAAGACAAAGAGAAGGCGGTGTGGGCGCCCTCTGCATCCTGGTCTCACTTCACTCTTTCCATCTCAATACCCTCCCCTCTCGTAACCTCCGTTACGGTGCCTGGCACCACATCCTAGCCCCAGCTCAGGAACCCGACGAGGTGAGGGGTGAGTCTCGAACCTAGAGGCGCCAGCAGCAGGTGCCCGGGAGCCAACAGAGGCCCAGCAGCCAGCACACAGGGGCTCAGCAGCCAGCACGCAGGGGCCCAGCAGCCAGCATGCAGGGGCCCAGCAGCCAGCACGCAGGGGCCCAGCAGCCAGCATGCAGGGGCCCAGCAGCCAGCATGCAGGGGCCCAGCAGCCAGCACGCAGGGGCCCAGGAGCCAGCAGGGGCACAGCAGCCAGCACGCAGGGGCCCAGCAGCCAGCACATAGGGGCCCAGCAGCCAGCATGCAGGGGCTCAGGAGCCAGCACGCAGGGGCCCAGCAGCCAGCACGCAGGGGCCCAAGAGCCAGCACGCAGGGGCCCAGCAGCCAGCACATAGGGGCCCAGCAGCCAGCATGCAGGGGCCCAGCAGCCAGCACGCAGGGGCTCAGGAGCCAGCACGCAGGGGCCCAGGAGCCAGCAGGGGCCCAGCAGCCAGCATGCAGGGGCCCAGCAGCCAGCACACAGGGGCCCAGCAGCCAGCACGCAGGGGCCCAGCAGCCAGCACACAGGGGCCCAGCAGCCAGCATGCAGGGGCCCAGCAGCCAGCACGCAGGGGCTCAGGAGCCAGCACGCAGGGGCCCAGCAGCCAGCATGCAGGGGCCCAGCAGCCAGCACGCAGGGGCCCAAGAGCCAGCAGGGGAATAGCAGCCAGCAGGGGCCCAGCAGCCAGCAGGTGCCCAGGAGCCAGCAGGGGCCTGGCAGCCAGCTCGCAGAGGCCCAGGTGCCAAGCTCCTCTACAAACGCACTTGGATGAGACTCGTTCACAGGTACCCCTGGTTCCGCCAGCCAATGCCATCAGCTGTCTTGGGTCGCGGAAGCCTCGCCTCACCCCACTGCCTCCTTCCTCACTATAGGATGCTGTCCACAGCCACCCCACTGCCTCCTTCCCCCTACAGGACACTGCCCACAGCCACCTCACTGCCTCCCCACACACCTTCTATCTCAGCCCTTCCTGGGGCCACCTCGGCCCAGGCCGCCCTGCGTTTGTGTCACGTCATGTCCTCACCACAGCCAATCGCCTCGGGGCTGACCCCAGCTCCCAACACTCCTGTATAAGCAAGTGCTCAGACAGTCTAAGCACGCTACACCCCAAGAACATGCCTGGCTCCCTGCAGCCCCCTCCTAAGGCCCTGCCCCGCGACACAGTCATTCCTCTTGCAGGTACCGCCTGAACGCCGAGTCATCCCCTGCAGGCGAAGCTCCTCTGTGAGCCACCCCTCCTCCTCCCTCCCTGGCACGGCCCAGCAGCCCCCTCCTGCTCGCACTGTGCCCAGAGCCCGTGGGAGCAGCCCGTGTGCCTGACCGCCAGCCTGGGGCGCCTGAGCCGTCCCCTCCTGTGGCCCCGAGCACGGCCCTGGCAGGCGACCCTTCTGACGGCCTGTGAGGACGAGGTACAGGCCGTGCCTTCGCCCTTGGCCTTCCACACAGCCTGAAACGTCTCCTCCAGGGACAGCTCTCTCGGGCTGCGGGACCTCAATGGCACGCTCACTAGGAGGCAGCCAATGAGGGGACCAGATGTCACACTGCCGTCATCTTTTCCACACTGAAGTTGCAGGGCAACGAGCAGACCTAGACCGGGTCAGGAGAAAGCCCGCTGGTGTGAGCTCCGGGACAGACCCTGCACAGCTGCAGTGTGGCCCTCAGGAACGGGGCAGGGAGGACACGGCAGGTGGCCCACGTGGCCCTGCCTCCCTGTCCGCCCATCCTGCAGCCTGTATCCCTCCCTGACCTCCCTCCGCTCAGCCCAGGCCCAGACACACTCCGTCCTGCCCCGTGCCTTCCGTCCAGCCCCCTACCTTCGGGATGACGCCCAGCTCACACACACTATGCCAGGGAAGTGCCAGGCAGTGGCGATGCTGAGCAGCGCTGAACCCTCAGGGTGATACCCACTGGGAACGCACCTAAGTGCTTCCGGCCTGGCCCGCTGCCAGGCAGGCCCAGTGGGGATGCAGTGTGAGCCTCAGTGGACGGGCGGGGAGGAGGGCCCCCCGACACAGGCAAGCAGGGAGCTTGAGTGAGCCAGCAGCTCGGAGCCACATTCCGAGAAGCGCTGCCTGGGCACTCCTGACAGAGACCCTGGGAAGCGCTGCTGACAAGGGACCTCACACCTGCGTCTCTCCAGGTCTCCCACGCGGGTACAGGGTCCCAAGGCTCTGGGCCATCTCGACTGCTTTCCCAGGCCACAGGCACTGCAAGTGCCAAGTGCCCACGTGGCTCTCAGGATGGCGACTGGACATGGCTGAGTCATTGCAAAGCTCAGGATCAGAGAGGAGGGGGCCAAACACGTATGTTTCTGCTGGGCAGGGAGTGAGGGTGCACGCCACGCCAGGATTTCTCGGAAGGCGGGACCACTTCACCTTCCCATGGCTCCAGCACCAGGAGGCACTGGGCCTGCCAACAGCTCGGAGGGCATTCTGCAAGTCTGAGCGGATGAGACTGCCGACCGCCCTGATGACCCCACACACTAGCTACGCGGATTACACTGTAACACTGCACCCATTAATAAGGTACAACAACAAGGGCATGGAAATGTCATCAACAAGGGCCCCGGATGACGGTTCAGTGGCTAAATACTTCCCTTACGAGCACTGGGATCCCATATGGGCACCAGTTCCAGTTCTGGCTGCCCCACTTCCCACCCAGCTCCCTGCCTGTGACCTGGGAAAGCAGTGGAGGACGGCCCAAAGCCTTGGGACCCTGCACCCTGGAAGAAGCTCCTGGCTCCTGGCTTCAGACCATCTCAGGTCTGGCCGTTGCAGCCACTTGGGGAGTGAACCAGCAGATGGAAGATCTTTCTCTTTCTAAATCTCTCTTTCAATAAAAATGATAAATCTTAATTTAAAAATTGCAATTAACATTCTACTTTAATGTAAAAAAAATTTGAAATCCATGGGTGTGGGAATCTCCAGAAAGTTCATGAAAAGTCTACATCATAAAAAAAGAGAGAAAGAAAAGCTGCGTGGGTTCCAGAAACTTCTGCACCCTAACAAACTGTTCTCAAAATGTTGTCCTCTGCACAAGTTTAACACACATTTTTAAAGAGTTATTTGTCTTTATTGGAAAGGCAGATTTGCAGAGAGAAGGAGAAACAGAAAGATGTTCCATCTGTTGGTTCACTCTCCAAATAGCCATAATGGCCAGAGCTGAGCTGACCTGAAGCCAGGAGCCAGGAGCCTCTTCCTCCAGGTCTCCCACGTGGGTGCAGGGTCCCAAGGCTTTGGACCGTCCTCCAATGCTTTCCCAGGCCACAGGCAGGGAGCTGGATGGGAAGTGGAGCAGCCGGGACTCGAACTGGTGCCCGTAGGGGAGAATTTAACCACTGAGCTCTAGCGCTGGGTCCAATTGGATGCAAAATGTAAGAAATGTCACCACAGGCGACAGCAGGCCAGGCCAAGAGAACCAAGAATCTCGGTGCTCTCAGGGCGGGTCCCCTTGTCACTGGGACACTCTGCCAAGATCCTTCACTGCCAATGGCATCCCAGTCAGAAGGACACGCACGCATTCCAGCCGCCAGGGGTGCAGCTCCGGGTGGGGAGCCCCATGGGCACCAGGAGCGTTAAGGAACATGGGATGGCAGGGTACGTCAGCAGGCAGCTGGGGGTCCCAGCCTGCTGAGGGGCTTGGGTCGGCACCCCTTTTTGCACATGCAAAGCAGGAATGCAAGCCTCCACCAACACCGACACCCACAACAAAAAAAAAAGCACACGGGATGCTGGAAGCAGGAAGGAGCGGGGACATCCCGACACAGGGCCCTGAAAGGGACCACAGAGGACCAGCGGAAGGGGCTGGTCCTGAGAGTGCAGGACCCAGCAAGAGGGGCTGAGAGCAGGCGTCAGAGGTGGGCCCAGGGCAGGCAGGACCCAGCAGGAGCGGCTGACAGCACCCAGAAGCACCCCGAGTTGAGGAGTGGTTAGAGGAGAAGGGGTGTTGAGGCTGGGTGGGGCAGGGTTGGGGCAGGGCTCCAGGGAGAACACTGGCCACAGCAGTGTGTGGGCAGGGGAGCAGCTGATTCAGAGGATGAATCCTACAAGGGCATGGGATGGAGTGGGAAGGCAAGGCCGCACCCGCAGTGCCCTTCCGGGTGCAATCCGGCAGGCCAGGCGGGCACGGGTGAGGCGGGAGCCGGACTCTGCAGGGTGGGGCGGGGCCAGGAGAGAAGCAGGCTGCTGGGGCTGGTCGGGGTGAACCTGACCGGAAGGGCAGAGATGCAGGAGGTGGGGAGGGAAGCTGACAGGAAGAGCACAGATCACGCATGGCACTGCGGAGTACCCTCCTCATCTCAGCTCTTCCTCGAGGCCGCCACCTGCCTGCTTGGCTGACCTGTCACCCTCAACTGGCCACCGGCACACCCCAGGGCGCTCCCCAACTGTCCCAACCCAAAATGCGGGGGACTCATAGCCAGGCCAGCTGTGGGGTAACCTGAGTGCTCCCACCAGGGCCCCTAGGAAGGACCCAAAGCTGCAGGAGGGCAGGGTGGGGGTGTGTCCCCAGGAAGGACCCTGGAGCTAAGGACGAGGGCGGGGTGGGATTGCATCCCCAGGAAATTTCCTGGCAAGGACAGATGCAGAAGTTGAGTCCCGAGGCCTTGGCCTGTCATCCTCTCTATGTCCCCCACCCACACAGAGCTGGACAGCTGCGCACACGTGAACACCGTGGACGCGAGGTCCCCGTTCAGTGGGTTCAGCTGATACAGTCTGGCCGCGGGGCACTGGGCACTAAGCAGGGACACTGGGTGAGATGGCTGGCCTTGCTCTCGCATCACACTGCTGTCTGTGGACCTTGTGGTGGGAAGGCACAGCTAGAGGGCCAGAGGTGACCAGCAAAGCCCTCTGGGAAGCAGGACATCCCCCACGAGGGGGGCAGGGCCAGCCAGTGGGGACACCCTGAGAATGGGCACATTGCACAGTGGAGGAAGCTCAGAAGCCGGCCAGGGCCGGGCCACCAGGGATTCCATCCCCAAGGCCCCCAGCAGGTGCAACACGGCCCCGATCCCCCATCCAGCGTGCCCTGATCTGCGGACAGCTAGAGGCCCTCCTCTCCCTCAGCCCCACCCCTGCAGGCACAGGACGCGGGACCCTCCTCTCCCTCAGCCCCACCCCTGCAGGCACAGGGAGCCCTCCTCTCCCTCAGCCCCACCCCTGCAGGCCCAGGACGCGGGACCCTCCTCTCCCTCAGCCCCACCCCTGCAGGCACAGGGAGCCCTCCTCTCCCTCAGCCCCACCCCTGCAGGCACAGGACGGGGACCCTCCTCTCCCTCAGCCCCACCCCTGCAGGCCCAAGACGCGGGACCCTCCTCTCCCTCAGCCTCACCCCTGCAGGCTCACAGTCCATGACCTCACACACTTCACTCCAACGCCCTCACTGACAGCTGTCACCATCCTACCCAAACTTCAACCCAGCGTTTAGTGTCCAACTAAAGCAGGAAGTGTAGAAAAGATTCCAAGAAAAAGCCTAGGTGCACCTTCCCATTCAGGCTTTTGGAGGAGTTCCACTGAACACCTCCCCCCACATTTTATGCAACCTTGACACCCGTGTGGGCCGTCACACGTTCACGTCCGAGACAAGAAGGCATTAGCTCATAAAGAGTGAATCCACAGGGTGGCAAGCGGGCCGGGGGTCTCAGCTCAGGGAGCACTGACCCGTCCTGTGAAAGGCCTCTCACTTCTCTTCCCGTTTGCTTGGCCCCAGAACAAACAGCAACGATCCTTGTGGCTCCAGGGCCGCCCAGTGCTGAGCCTCTTACTGCATCCTCCAGACGTCAGGCGACGCTCAGGCCAGCGCCACCGGAACACGACACCAGCCACCGTGCCCTGCTAGCCAAGCGCCCCCTGCACCTGAGCAGTTTTGGGGTTCCCAGCGCAGCAGGCGACCTTGCACGGCTCCCTTGCACCTGACTCTAATGGCCCAACCCTAGGACACGTCCTTCCAGGCAAGCAGCAATGAATGAATGCGCCTGTCCTCCAAGCACAGGGCAGCTCCAGGCACGTCTGGGTCGGTCCACCAACCCGGGGCGCCCCCATTCCTCTCCCCCTGCAAGGACATGGTGGAAGGCGCTCCCGGTGCAGCACGGAGGCCAGGAGCACAGCCTTCAAGGGTCAACGGACGGGCCGACGGACGCTCACCCCTCACCGACGCGCCCCCGTTCCAGCCCGGCCTGTCACCTTCAGGAGCCGCCGCAGTCCAACCGCCTCTGGCCCCATCCAGCGCGCCCCGGGCCGCTCCTAGGCCCCCAGCCTGTGAACCCCAGGACCCCGAGGCTCAGAGACCCCAGGGCCCCCAGGCCCGGGGTCCCTAGGACCCCCATGCCCGGAGACCCCAGGACTAAGGCCCTCTGAGACCTGAGAACCAGGACTCGGGACCCCACAGATTCCAGACCCCAGGACCCCCCCAGATCCGGGAGCCCCCAAGTCCCCCAGATCCGGGAACCCCAGAACTCGGGACCCCCAGACCCCCTAGGCCGCATTGTCCCCTAGACCCGGGACTCCCAGGCCGCAGGCACCCCCAGGCCCGGGACACACGGGCCGAATGCCTCCACAGGCCCGGGACCCCCAGGCCGCATCCCCCACAGGCCCCAGGCCAGGCCCGGCCAAGGACCTACCTGCTGGGACACCGGGAGCAGCGGCGCCGCCATCTTCCCGTGGACTCGGGGACGGGGGGGCGGGGCCGCCGCCGCCGCGCGTGCGCCCAGGCGCCAGGGGCGCTGCTGCGCGCGCAGCCCGGACTCGGGAGGTGGCGGAGTGCTGCGATGCGCGTGCGCGACTGAGCGGGTGGGACCGAGTAACTGCGACAGGGGCGGGGCCGGGATGATGGGGCGGGGTCGGGGGCGGAGTCAGACAGGAGTCACACAGATGGCCCTAGGTGGCCCCAGAGGGTCCTAGAGGGTCCCAGGTGGTCCCAGATGGCCCTAGGTGGCCCCAGAGGGTCCTAGAGGGTCCCAGGTGGTCCCAGAGGGTCCCAGGTGCTCCCAGATGGCCCCAGGTGACCCCAGGTGGTCCCAGAGGGTCCTAGAAGGTCCTAGGTGGCCCCAGAGGGTCCCAGGTGGTCCCAGGTGGCCCCTATGGGTCCTAGAGGGTCCCAGGTGCTCCCAGATGGCCCCAGGTGATCCCAGGTGGCCACAACCCCTACAGCTGGGCCAGGCTGTAGAGACAGACACTCAAGCCCTGAAGCCATCTGCGGCTTTCCCAGGCACACCAGCGGGGAGCTGCATGAGAAGGGGAGTTAGCGAGGATATGAACCGAGTCCAGTGGGAAGCAGTGTCACAGGCGATAGCTTTCCCACACCGCCCAGCACTGGCCCCACTCAATGCATGTTTGATCTCTGACTCTTTCTTGTTTTTTGGTTTTTTGGGGTTTTTTTTTTTTGATATTCAGATAATGCAGAGGAGAGACAACTGATTGACAGAGAGGGGGATCTTCACTCCCCAAGAGGCCATAACGGGTGGAGCTGAGCCAATCCGAAGCCAGGAGCTTCTTCAGTTGGCGCCAGGCTCCGCCTTGCTGGCCACCCAGCAGCGAGCTGTGCGGTCTTGGGGGTGTGGAATCGCTCCCTAGGTACGCGTGTCAACGAGGCCACCGTGCGTTCTAAGAATCAACCCGTAGGGACTCGAAACGACAGGGTAACTTCTCCTCGAAGGTAAGTGAGGGTACTGAGACCTAGTGGTTTGGAGGGGGGACACCAGGCGATCTGTAGGGGTCCTGGGATGGGTGGGAGACTGGGTGGGGCTTCTCCCTTTATCTCCCCCTCTCCCCCAGATACAGAAAAACAAACTACTGCAGAAACCATGGTCTTACCCGCTTTCCTGTAACCCTTGACCCTCTGGGCCCTAATCAACTATGTGAAGATTATCAAAATTTTAAAAATAATAATAATAAATAAAGGTGCACTCTTGCAAAGTCTCCTTGATGATTCTTTATATAAAAAACAGGAATGTGGTGGGTGTTGCTCGTGCAAGGCAGGGGTGGGAATGCTGGGGTGGGCTCAGTGGGGAAGACAGGGGGGGCTTCGCGGAGAGCCGGGTGGGGACGGGGACGGGGGGGGGGACCCCTCGGCGGAGAGAATGAAGACACGTCACCACACACACATTGCAGCCTTGCACCGTGTTAGAGCGGGGGGCAAGGCGTTACCGGGTCGCTAGAGCTCCTGGTTGCCACGCTGGTGAAACTGGCGGAAGTGGTTGTTGCGTCCCTGGAACCTGCCCGACAGGAGCTCCTCTTCATCTTCCTCCCGTGCCTTCTTCATCTCCTCCTTGGCCTGAATGGCGTCCATCTCCTTCTCTGGGTCCTGCAGGGGGCAGGCAAACAAAAGGAAAGGCTGCGGAGGCTGTGTGTGATGAAAGATGGGTGGGAGGCAGGCTCTGCCTTCCAGAAACTTCCACATCACCTGCTGGCCCATTCCCCCCCCACCCCATCCCAAATGTCTGGGAGCGGCAGGAGCTGCGTCCTGGGTCAGGCACCAGGAGCACCTGCGCTGACAGCTGCTGTCCACCAGGAGGCATCAGGGACGCAGCAGGGTCCTGACGCCGCCCCTGGTCCCTGGCTCCCTAACCAGCGCACTTTCACAGCTCCTGCTCCAACATCCACAGTATTCAGGATGCAGAATATTCTAGACAAGACACTAGGTAAGACTGTGAGGGGCGACCATCCAGCAGCCTCACCCCGCTCTCGGAGTCCCAAGCCTGCTTCTGTCCGGGCTCCCTGCCAGTGCGCCTGGGGAAGACTGGAGGGCCCCAGGGCTTCAGGCCAAGCCACCACCCCCATGGGACACCAGGATTGCAGCTCCCGGCTCCTGGCGTTGGGTCAGCTCAGCTCCAGCCCTTGCAGCCGCTTGGGGAGTGAGCCATCGGACGGAAGATCTTCCTCTCTGTCTCTCCTCCTCTCTGTGTATCTGAGGAGAGGCGATATTGAGCTATGCGATGGGATGGCGTTTGCTGCTGGGGGTGAGTGCTGACTCGGGGCCACGGGCGCATATGTTAAATCTATGCTAATCACGTGTTCGTCATGTGGTGCATGTCCTACCCGGGTCTCGCCCCACGTGGCCTTGCCGAAATTCTCCGCGTACTCTTCGTCATCCGTGATAAGGAAGTTATCAAAGATGGTCCCGGCTCTCACCTGCAGCGGGGAACAAGGCCGGCGTGGCGGCTGTGACGCGGCTCACGGCTGGACGCGTCTTGGCTCTCAACACCGGGTGGGGCTTCCATCCGTTTCCAGAAAACTCTTGGGACGCTGACGGCCCAGCCCGGACACACAGGGAGACCACCAAGAGGCCCGCAGAGACTCCCAAGCCGCAAGTAGCACCAACGTCTGTGTCCGTGCCAGAGGCCCTGACCCCCGCTGGCTCTGCCAGCTGCCCACGCCGTGGCTCAGGGGGGCTGCATTCCCGCTGCCCACCACGATACACACGCTCCCCCTGCCTGACACTCCGCCTTTAAGAATCCATAAATGAATACATCTTGCGTTCTCCGGAGTCTGGGTCCGGTAGGCTATAGCAGGTGTTCAGGGAACAGCATGAACATAAAGGAGGAAGCGCAGGCTGTGGCTCAGAGTCCGGCCACGTCACAGCCAAGGGTCACGTTTGGGTGTCGCTTCCTCCCCCACAGGTCTCAAGTGGTGGGACTCCCCAGAGGCGGCGCCCCACAGGAGGCTGGCTACATCCTGGGACCCAACAACGGACTAGTGCTGACGGCAGGGGGTGTGCCAACTCCCTACTCCATCCATTACCCCGAGAGCAGGCTCTGCCCGGTCTCAGGATGCTCCCCAGCTCCCCATCTTACTGGCTGCCGCTCCGGCCGGAGACCACACACCAACGGGGCCGCCCGGCCCGCACCCCTGTTCTTCACCACGTGCCCTGGTCCAGCCAGCCCCGGGTGCTCCAAGACAAAACGCCCTGAGCCCCCTCAGAGACCTGCCACAGGTCCAGCCCGATGGCGCCGATGTTCTCGAACTCTGCCAGGTCATACTCCGTCAGGGAGTTGGTATTCTTCATCTTTCGGTGCAGCCAAACATGCTTGTCGATGCCCTCGGGTTTCAGGCCATCCTGTGACGACAGAGCCGCAAGGCAGGGTGGGAGTGGGGCGGGGTCCCAGGCCAAGGGCGGCCCACGGTCACCCCGCGGGGCCGTGGTGCTGGTGACCCACCTGGTACGGCGGCTTCTGCAGCATGGGCGCCGGAAAGTCCGCTTCCAGGTCGCTGTTCCAGTCGCTCGGTTCGCTGGCCCCAGCGTCCAGAAAATGCTTCTCCCAGTCCTGCAGCGACACGCAAGGCGAAAGAGCGAGCGGTGAGATGGGGGGCCCGGTCCTCGCCGCCTCGCTTCCAGTCCAGCTCCCTGCTGGTGCGCCCAGGACACGCGGCAGGTTCAGCTGGCTGTGGGACGTGGGTCCCTTGCCAGCTAGACGGAGTTCTGGGTTCCTGGCCAAGTCCTGGCTGTGGTGGACATTTGAGGGGAATAAACCAGCAGATGGGAGATACATGTGCGTGTGTGTGTTACTCTGCTTTCCCAATAAAGAAATAAAATCAGAGACCGACACACATCAGCGGGCCATGAGCCCTGTTCACCTACGAGGGTCTGGTCCCCTCCAAGCGGGGCGGGCCAGGCACTGGGCCACAGGCCCCCTACCCGTGTGTCTTGCTGTCTGCAGTCCTGGTCTGGCTTCTTGGCGAATGCAGACCGGGGGGAGGCAGTGCTGATGGCCCGAATGATGGGAGCTGGTGCCACCCAGTCCACGTGGTTAGTCTGGACCAAGGGCCAGCCTCTACCTGAGGGCTCGGCCCAGCCCCAGTCACTATGGGCATTCAGAGAGTGAACCAAGAGATGAGAGCTGCCAATCTTTGTCTCCACCACGCAATCCCCATCAAGGGCGACAGGTCAACCATGCAGAGTGGCGGCTAAGTTCAACACAGTTGGGGCAGGGACTGGTGTTGTGGCACTGTGGGGCAGGCCTCCACCCGCAGCGCTGGCACCCCAGAAGCTGAGCAAAGGCTGGAGTGCTAGCTGCTCTGCTTCCCATCCAGCTCCTTCTGCTCAGGTACCTAAGAAAGCAGCAGAGGACAGCCCCAAGACAGACACACAGAGCTGTCCTCCCTCTGTGGATGGCCGGCCTAGTGCCTGCAGGGGGCATGTCTGGGCGGGAACGGGGGCGGCCCCTGGTCACGCTGTCACCATCGAGGTCACAGCCCCAGGGCCAGCGCACTGACCGGGCAGTCTCCCCACCTGGCTCTTGTCTCCCGCGCCCTGAGCGTAGTCTTCAGGCCCCACCGAGGACCGGGCCATCTTCTTCAGCGACGTCAAGTTCCAGTCGTACTCGACGCTCCCGGACTCGATGGACTGCCCGTCGATTTTCACGTCGTAGGAAAGATCTGGTCTTAGAACCAGAGCATAGAGGTGTGTGAAGCCATCGACCTGCACGTTCGGGCAAGAACAACGCGGAAACCTTGCACGAGCCTCCACGGGCCCGAAACAGGCAGCTTGTTCCTCTGCCCTCCCGGCTCCCTGCTCGTGGCCTGGGAAAAGCAGCTGAGGATGGTCCGAGTGCTTGGGCCCTTGCTGCCTGGCTGCGGCCTGGTCCTGCCCTGGCTGTTGCTGCAGCCGCCTGGGAGTGAGCCAGCGGCGGCCTGAGGGCTGCTCCTCGGGGTCAGGGCCATGCCACGTGCCTGGTGGGCGTCACTGTCCCCGAGGTTTCTCTTCTGCGTTTCTCCCATGCTCCCGTGGCGTAACTGCACAACTGCTCGGCAGGTGTCACACCGGCCAGCCCTTGGGCCCAAAAGCCAAGGACAGGAGGGAGTGTTGGTGTGAGGGCTCGCCTGTGGCCCTCGCAGGACAGGGCTTGGGCCAGCGGTGATGCACAGGGCACCTGGGGAGCCGTGACGGCCGCTCTGTCGCGTGGCTGTGGCCCAGGGAGGAAGCGTCAAGGAGGCGGTGAGCGCTCCCCCTTGAGGGGTAAGACTAATTACAGAACAGCTATGGGGGGGCCCGGCGCTGGGGCGTAACAGCCACCACCTGCAATTCCAACACCCCCTATGGGCGTGAGTTCGAGTCCCAGCTCCTCCGTTTCCAATGCCAACTCCCAGTTGATGTTCTCCGGAAAAGCAGCGAGCTAGCCTAAGTGCCTGGGTGCCTGCTACCCGGCAGGGAGCCCAGGCTGGGGTGCCTGACTTCCGGCGCCATCCTGAGTCTGCGATGCTGCACAGCTCTCAGGTGAACGACCCAGCTCATGGACTCCCGTTCCATAACTCTGCCTTTCGATAAAGAACTCTTACAAGGAGAAAAAAAAAGCAGCAGCCCCCTTTAAGAATCTGCTGATGTGTTAAGGCTAATGTCATATCCTCAGCATGTTCTCTCAACTCACAGTACCACGTTTGTTGTGGATGACTGTGCCTAAAATACGGCTATCCTATTGTAAAGCCCTTTGGGGGTAAATGTTAGTAAGATGTTATAGCTTGCAAGAAAAAATCAAAGGAAAATGACCATGATTAAAAACCAAGCTAGTGTGGCGAGTGTGTCCGACGGGCCAGCGCGGTGGGAACCAGGGAAGCAGAGGTAGGCTGCTAGGACCCGTCCCTGGCTCAGCTCAACAGTGCAGACTCATCATGACTTTCTGGAAGCTGCCAGCGGGCAGGCGTGCGCCCGGCCCCTCGTCGGCATCAGACGGTAGTCACCTTGCAGCGGATGGATTTCTTATTTGCATGGTACTGATTCTTGAAATGTAAAATTACATGTACTTTCTTGATATCAAATCCACAAATGTCGGGTCCTACGAGACAAAAAAAAAAAAAATCAGCCGTTTTCAACCTATTCCCACAGGCCCGTCACCAGAGGCAACACCGCCCTTCCCCGCCACCCTGCCACGCGTGTTCCGGAATAGCTGGCTGGGTATGCAGCCCAGCAGTGGAAACACGAGGGTTCCTGGGGTACCGTGACCACTTCCTGCATAGTGGGGTGATGGTTCAAGTGGCTGGTTCCCTGGCACAGCACGCGTGGGAGACCCACACTGCGCTCCTGGCACTCCTGGCCTGGGCCCTGGCACATTTCCAGATATTGCAGGTTTTTAGGGAAATGAATGAACCAGCAGAGGAGAGCTCACTGTCTTTCTGTTTTTGAAATTGGAAACACCACTAATGGAATAAACAAAAAGCTGGCATCCAGGTGGGACACCTGCATGGCGTGCATGGCTTTCCCTGCTACACCGCCACGCCAGCCCAGAAATTTCCCTTTCTTCATTTCTCTTTTTAATTTGCATTGGAAAGGTATATTTACAGAGAGGAGAGACCCGGAGATCGTCCATCTGCTGGTTCACTCCCCAAGTGGTCACAGCATCCAGAGCTGAGCTGATCCAAAGCCAGGAGCCAGGAGCCTCTTCTGGGTCTCCCACACGGGTGCAGGGTCCCAAGGCTTTGGGCCGTCCTCCACTGCTTTCCCAGGCCACAGGCAGGGAGCTGCGTGGGAACTGCAGCAGTTGGGACTTGAACCGGTACCCATATGGGATTCCAGCGCCACAGGGCTGAGGATCAGCCTGCTGAGCCACTAGCCACCATGCTGGCCCCCAATACTCTATTTTTCTAGAAACTTTTGCAGAAGCCAACAGGGTGGTACCAGACCTTACTGTAACAGAGGCTGAGAGTCACTTTGAACAATTGCTTGGCTCTGGGAAGTGGTTTGAATTTCTACCTTTTTTGGAATTGAGCGTATCTTCAGATGTTTCACAGCGGGGCATCCCTACCCCCCCAAACCCAAAGCATGTCGGTTTTCACCCTGTGGGCGAGGGTTCCTCCTGCTGCAAACCTCGGTGATTACTCTGCTCGCTGCGCCAGCCGAGTCTGATGCGGCCAGCCCTGCGATGAGCCTTAAGCCTCCAGCATCCCAGGCCAGCAGGTGGGTGCCTGTTGCGGTCCTGGCTGCTCCACTTCCCATCCAGCTCCCTGCTCCTGTGCCTGGACGGTCCCAGGTATTTGAGTCACAGCCCCCCAGAGTTCCCGGCTCCTGCATGCAGCCTGACCCAGCCCTGGCTGTTGCAGCTACTTGGGGAGCAGAGCTGGAGCCCCTCTCTCTCTGTCTCTCTCATCAGCACAATCGCCCTGCTCCCCCCCGCACAGAGGTGTTCTGGACCGGGCGGCCAGCGTGCACTCACCGAACATGATGTAGTACTGTGATTGCCCGCTCAGGTTCCTCTGGTCCACGTCGGCCGGGAAGAGCTTCACGTAGCCGCCGCCACAGTCCATCTTCTGCTCGTGTTTCACGGTGTACTGCAGCACCAGCGTCTTGCCCTTGTTGCTGAAGGGCTTGAAGCGCGCAGAGATGGCATAGAAGCGGCCATTCTGCGTGGTCTGCAGGCCTTGCAACGGAAAGCGCTGGTGGAGGCCGAGGCTCCGCCTGCTCGCCACACCCCCCTCCCCACGCCTGGGCCCCCCTGCAGGACTGCAGTGGGTTCCGCACCCCCGGGGTGCCATGGGGGGCGTACACCACCCGTGGCAGCAATCTGCTGCAAATGCCCAGCCTTCCTTCTAAGGTTGCCTCTCTCCTACCCTGCCCACTCCAACAGCCACGTGCACAGCATTTCCAGGGGATCCTAAGCACCCCAGAGATGGCGTCCGGCAGACAGGGTCTGGTGTGAACACTACGCTATTTTATCAGAGACATCAAAACTCTTGGGGAGGCTGGAATCAAGTTGATCGGGGTGCCCCTCTATCCCCTCATCAAAAAAAAAAGTCCCACTTGGGGCCCGGCAGCGGTTGTCACGCAGAAGGGGGAGAAGGGTAACGTTTACTGTGGATTGTTCACTCGTGGGGTGCAGTGCATTCATTCCGCACAGGACCCAATGGGCCATCAGGCTCCCAGGCCCATCTCCATGGCCAGCACGATGTTTGCCATGAACCGTGCGTGAAGGCGTTTGCGGAGCCTGGCCCGAGAACTGCAAATCAGTCCCGTTTCACTTCATTGTGACGTCAGGCCTGGGGACCTGGGGCTTCTCTTCTATTCATCCACAAAGCACGGAGGGGCCACAGTGCCACCGCCGCACGTGTGAGGGCACTCTGGAACATTCCATCTGGGTGCTGGTGCCTCCCGGCTAACCTCCCCCCTCCCTCCCCCTCTACTCTAGTGCCCAATACACCCTAACCGCCTTCCAAGCTCCCACAAGGCCAGGAAAAGAAACTCTTGGCTCCCTGCCCCGCCCTAAACAAGACAAAAATGTCCCAACCCATTCTCCACTCCATTCCTTGTGGCTAGACAGAAATAAGATGGTAAATTAGCTATGGCTTGCGGAGCATTGGTTCTCAGACATAAGGAGGCAGAGGGCTGGGCGCTGTTACTCCACGTCACGAAACGGGCCAGGCAGGGGGCCAAGGGGGCCGGTGCCATGGCTCAACTGACTAATCCTCCACCTCCAAGTGCCAGGATCCCAAAGGGGCACCGGTTCAATTCCCAGCTGCTCCACTTCCCACCCAGCTCCCTGCCTGTGGCCTGGGAAAGCAGTGGAGGATGGTCCACAGCCTTGGGACCCTGTACCCGTGTGGGAGACCTGGAAGAGGATCCTGGCTCCTGGCTTCAGATTGGCTCAGCTCCGGCCATTGTGGCCACTGGCGGCCACTTCTCTCTGTAAAATCTTCCTTTCCAATAAAGATAACTCCTTTTCTCCTTTTTTTTTTTTTTTTTTTTGCAAATCCCCACATTTTAGGCTTCCAACCTTGGGTCTGAGGTCAAATTTTCTTGTCAAACTTGCTGCCGTCTTCCCCTAGCTCCCCCTGCTTTTCCCACTGTGCCCAGGCCCTGCCATCGGGGTGTCCACCTGGGCGACCCCAGGTGCCTTGACTGGCTTTCCCGCCAGCCCGACACAGCGGGGTGGAGTCCAGTTGCCCTCCCCTCTTTCGGATTCTACACTAACCTTTGTCCTTCTCCTTGTGACCATAAAACTTCCCCGACGAGACTCTAAAATGCCCAAACTGGGAGTTATTGGTGGATTGCACCCACCGGTTGCGCCAGCGTTCTGTGGGGGGGACAGAAGGACAGCCCTGGTTAGAGGGGGACCAGGTGCAAAGGGTCCCCACAGGGGTGAGGGGCCCCCTTCACCTCCGTCCAGAAACTCCTCCTGGAAGTAGACAGTGGCCAGCGCCACTCGCACCACGAAAAGGACCCCGAAGTGGACGCGAGCCCCGGCCATGGAGGCGAGCGCGCCCACCTTCTCCGCTGCTTCCCCGCCTCGGCCCCCCGCTCACCTCAAAACTACACTTCCCGTCACACAGCGCGATTGTGACCGAGGAGCCAGCGGAACTACCGCTCCCATGACGCACCGCGGGGGTAGCCGGGGGTGCTCGCCGGGCCGCGCCGCGCGGGGCCTGCTGGGAGATGTAGTCCTCTGGCGCGGTTGCCCTGGGTGACGGACTCCCGTAAGGCCCCGAGGCCTGGCCAAGCGTGGACGTCCGGCCGGACCTGGGCCGATGGATGGACGGGTCGGGTGCAGGTGGGCCGTCCGGGGTGCTCGATGGGAGCGGCTGCGAGGCTGGGGGCCTGTCCCCTCCGTGAGCCCCGACGAGCGGGAGGCGGGCAGGGCGGCGGGCGGGCGCGGGCGGGCGCGTCTGGGTTTGTTTTAGCAGCTTTCCTGAAGTAGGTTTTACCACCGTTCCTTGGAGTGGACCCTCCGATGTCCCCCGTGTCCCAGCGTGTCGGACTCGGAGAACTTTTCCATTCCAACCCCGCGTCCCTCAGGGAGCGGCCACTCTGACATGGGCATGCCAGGCCCCTGGAGGTGCCAACATGCTCGGCCTCGGTGTGTGTGTGTAGACTCCTTGGTCCAGGGACCAGCGCTGTGAAGTGGCAGGGTTCAGGCGGCCGCAGCCCCCCGAGCATCCTGGGTCCTGTTTGGTTTTCGTCCCTGCAGGATGCCTGCCGCTAGGAAACTCGGCCGCTCCACGCTGCGCAGCCTCGGCGACTTCACCGACTTCGCCTTCCAGGACTCCAAGATGGAAGAGATCCACAACTCAAAAATGAGCTCCAGTCTCACCCGCCTGGCACCGGGTCCCGGCCGGTTCCTGCAGAGAAACGCGGCCCCCGCAGGCGAGCGCGCCTGCCTCGCCCAAGAGCAGGCCGGCCCCTCGGCCAGACCCCTGAGCACGCCATCCACAGTCCGAGCCCACGCCGCGCTCAGGAAGCTGGCCCAGCTGGAAACAAAGATCCGGAGCCGGCAGACGCCTGCCAGCTCAGAGCCCGGGACCCTGCAGAGCCGAGCCCCGGGGACAGCGGACAGGACCCCCTCCGCGGATACCACGGCCATGCCTGCCCCGCACCAGACAGACAGCAGCTTCCAGAAGGAAGGCTGGGAGAGTCCCCACAGCGAGAGGAGTATCCGTCGGTTCCTAAAGAAGAAGGGACCCCCCGTCTCAGACACGGCACCTGCAGCGTCCACTGGCAAAGGAAAGGACTCCCGGCCACTCCTACCGCAAGAACCTGCTAGAAGGTTGGACTCTCTGGACAGTGACGAAGAGGAGATAAGACACCTGCTGGGAAGCCTGATGGAATCTTCTAAGGAAACAGGAGCCCCCAGGGATCCGGGCGTCGCTGGCGGTAAAGTCAAGGTAAGAGGCCTGCTGTCCCCCTTCAGCGCTGGAGTTGCACGTGGGCACTGGTTCAGGTCCCGGCTCCTCCACTTCCCATCCAGCTCCCTGCCTGTGGCCTGGGAAAGCAGTGGAGGATGGCCCAAAGCCTTGGGACCCTGCACCCGCGTGGGAGACCTGGGAGAGGCTCCTGGCTCCTGGCGTCAGATCAGCTCAGCTCTGGCTGTGGCGTCCACTTGGGGAGTGAACCAGTGGATGGAAGATCTCTCTCCCTCTCCCTCTTCCTCTCTGTTTCTCTCTCCCACTCTTCCTCCTCTCTTTTCTAAATGTGCCTTTGAAATTGAGAAAAACCTGAAAATATGAGAGGTGACCTGGCAGTGTCCCATGTGGGTTACCACCGCTGCCTGCCCCAGTCCTCAGGAGCCGGGAGCTGGACCCAGCCTCTCCGCCAGGGAGATGTGGCCCGTGGGCGTCACTGACTGCCCAGCGCCTGCCCTCCAGGATACAAGCTGGACGTCCTGGCCTGCCTGTCGCACTGCTATGACTTTTGGTCACCCCATGTCCTTTTCTCCCTGCCTCCGAAGGCGCAGAGCCCGGCTCTGCCAGGAACCCCGCATCCGCCGAGGACCAAAGCTCCCAGCAGCTCCAAGGCGTCCCAGCCATCACGCCGGCGCTGTGTGCGATCGGCCCCACTTGTGACCCCGTCTCCTGGGCCGCCCGCTTCTGAGGACACAGCCTCGCACGCGTCATCCGTGTCCATCGTGGGCGCCTTCGTCAAGTCGGTGCCTTCCAAGATGGGCCGCATCAAGCTCGCGTCCTCCCCCAGCAGCGAGACAGGGCCCACCGAGGAGCCGCCGTCCGAAGCCTCGGATGACAGCCTCGATGGTAATGCGTCTGCCTTGTCTCGCGCCCAGCCCTTTCCTGATGCTGAGATCAGAGAATACTTCGCATATAAGCAGGCGTTCCCTTGGGCTTTTGCGTGAAGTAGGGGAGGGAGGGGCGGGGAGGCCAGAAACTCACCGACAGTGGAATTTAAACCATTAGTTTATTGTGAAATCAAACAGCTTTTCATAGTTGGTGTAGGGAAAAAAAAAAAATGTGTGGGGGCCGAAACTGACGGAGTGGGTTAATCTGTGCTTGCAGTGCCAGCATCCCATGGAGGCAGATGGTTCCCAGTCCTAGTTCCACTTCCGGTCCTGCTCTCTGCTTATGCACCCAGCAGAGCAGCAGCAGGTGGCCCGAACGTTGGGTCCCTGTACGCACGTGGTAGACCCCGATGGAGCTCCAGGCTCCTGGCTCCTGTCTGGCCCAGCCAGAAAACCTTATACTTTCCAAAAAAAGAGAAAGAGAAAACCTTATTTAGTGAAAGGCAAAATGAGGGAGAGAGAGGGAACTTCCATCTGCCACCTAAAAGGCCGCAGTGGCCTGAGCCAGGGGCTGCAGACGCCAGCCGGGTCTCTGCGCAGGAGCAGGAGGAGCCATCCCAGGTTGCCAGGAGCCAGGAGCCTCTTCCGGGTCTCCCACACAGCAGCAGGGTCCCAAGGCTTTGGGCCGTCCTCCACTGCTTTCCCAGGCCACAGGCGGGGAGCTGGATGGGAAGTGGGGCAGCTGGGATTTGAACCAGTGCCCAAGTGGGATGCCAGTGCCACAGACTGTGGCTTTACCCACTCTGCCACAGTGCTGCCACTCTGTCTCCTCCCAATATTTAAAATACTTTGGCTGTGCAGCAGGGGCAGGACCTGCAGGGAGTGAGGGCTGAATGTTGCTGCAGCCGTGTGCCGGACACAAGCCAGAATTTCTAGTGTGGGAAAAAGAGGAGGCGCCTGTCCTGGGGCAGGCTCACAGAGGACAGGCGCACCTCCAGGCTTCAGCGCCTTCCTCTCTGCCTGCAGACTCCAGAATCAACCTGCTGTCCCTGGACGAGCTGGGCCCTGCGGCCAGTGCCGGGTCCGACACGGAGGAGCAGGTACGTGTCTTCCGAGTTCGGGGGCTTCAGCCCGGTTCCTGCAGGCCAGGGCCGCCTCCATCCTGGCCCTCTGGGGCATCGCTGCTGGACAGAAGCCTGGGACACACTGCTCCGTGTCCTTGGGTGCCGAGGGGTCCAGGCCCACGGGTCCTGTGCCTTGTGGGGGTGGGGGGAACCCCGAGGTGAGGTGGTCCGAGGCTGAAGCTGTGGGAGGAGGCGTGCCCCGCGTGTGCCCCGTGTGTGCCCGTGCCTGAGGCTGGGTCTGCCAGGGCCTCTCCAGCTGTGCTCGCCAGCGCCCGCGCTGCGCTCTGCTGCCAAGTCCCACTGCCCTGTTTTCATTTATGTTGATTTAAAGATTTACTTGTTTATTTAAGCATAAAATGACAGAGAGCTTCTGTCTGCTGGCTCACTCCCCAGATGGCCACAGTGGGCAGGGCCAGGCTACAGCCAGGGGCCAGGAGCTCTCTCCGTTCTATTCTGTGGGTGCAGGGGCCCAGCCACTCAGATTGGGGTACGCATGCACAGGGAGCTGGCGGGGCTCGAACCGGTGGTCCAGTTCAGCGGCAGCTTCACGCACTGCCCCCAGCGCGAGACCCCCGACACAGGCTTCCCCACGGAGGTTCTGCCTCCCGGCACTGGAGTCCAGAACCCGCAGCCCAGGGTGGCTTCTGGCTGGCGGAGCCCTGAGGCGTGACATGGGGTGCCCTCAGCTTGGTAGCGGGCACATGACCATCGAGGGAGCACATTGGAACCCACGCAGGAAGCCCCCGTGACCTGCTGCGACCCCTTGGGGGCAGCGCCAACACCCCACAGGAGTACTGGTTCAAGTCCTGGCTCAGGGACGTGGGAAGGCAGTGGCAGGTGGCCCGAGTGCTTGGGCCCCCATGTGCATTCTTGTGGGGGACCCAGGTGGAGCATCTGGCTTCCAGCCTCGGCCTGGCCTCCTCTGACTGTTGTAGCCACTTGGGGAGTGAGCTAGTGGATGGAAGATCTCTCTCTCTCTCTCTCTTTTATTTCTTCCTCTCCCTCTCTGCCTCTTGAGAAATCTTAGAAAGAAACCCAGAGCAGAAGTGATGCAGAAACTCCGTGTGTCTGAAAGCCACTGAGTCCGGGCCGTCCACAGACACGCACCTGAATGTCTCCCGTCTCCCAGCCACGGCTCCCCGAGAACACTGACCCATGCCATGTCCCATGTCAGGCAGGAGGGGCCCTGAGGCCGCAGCCAGCGGATGACAGCTGCCACACCGTGCCCTCAGCCGAGAGGCGGTCACAATCAAGCTCACGGACATCTGCCTGCGGTGGAGCCGCCTCCCAGGACGAGGACACGCCACCCTCTGACGGTGCCATGTCAGAGCAGCTGAGTGCCAGCTTGGCCTCTGGCACCCCCCAGGACAGCACGGCCCGCACGCTGCCATCGCCTGAGGCCCACACCCTGGCCTACTCCGAGGACTTTGAAAGCTCACCCAGTCCTTCGGTCAGCGAGCCCGCCACCCCATCCCTGGAGTGTCCCGACAGAGCTGTGGAAGCCTGGTCGGAGTCCTCCTCCAGCCTGGGGCCACCCACCTGCACGGCACCCCGGGAGAAGGGAAGCAGGGCCGCGCACAGGGGCCTTGTCAAGGAGACAGCCGTGCAGACCCTGGACTGCGCGCTGACTTACCCGTGGACGGCAGGTGCGTGTGGCTACCCCCGAGAGCAGGGGTGGGGGCCGCCTGCCCGAGCTGCTGCCCGGAGGCCTAGCAGTGGGCACGGCGAGAGTGAGGCAGCCTTGTGTGTTCCAGCTGGGCCCTGTGAGCTGCAGATCACATCGGAACCTCAGCCTCATCTGGCTCCTGGCTCCACTGCACAGCTCCGAGGGCTGCCCTGCCACTGCGGCTTGCTCCCCCGTGGGGTCCACGCTGTCACGGCCCTGGCTGCCCTGCCAGGTTGGGGCACACAAGGCTGTCAGCCCTTCCCAGCACGGCCCCGTGTGGCACCCGGAGGCCAGGGAAAACCTTGCCTTCCTTCCTAACTTCCTCTCAGATTTATTTGTTTTTATTGGAAAGGCAGATCAGATTTACAGAAAGGAAGAGAGAGAGAGAAAGATCTTTCATTTGGTGATTCACTCCCCAAATGGCCACAATGGCCAGAGCTGATCTAAAGCCGGGAGCCAGGAGCCTCTTCCGGGTCTCCCATGCAGGTGCAGGGTCCCCAGGCTGTGGGCCGTCCTCCACTGCTTTCCCAGGCCACAGGCAGGGAGCTGCGTGGGAAGCGGGACTGCAGATCGGCTCAGCTCTGGCCATTGTGGCCACTTGGGGAGTGAACCAGCGAATGGAAGATCTTCCTCTCTGTCTCCCCTCCTCTTTGTAAATCTGACTTCCCAGTAAAAATAAATAAATCTTTAAAGAAAAAACAAAGGTGTGGTAGCCGTCGTGGTCTGAGGGTGGTGAGCCAGAGCGCGTGGCTCCCCGCCGTGTCTGCGTCCTGTTCACCCTCCCGTGTCTTTGGCACAGCAGCCAGCCTGGCCGCCCTGGAAGGCGCCTGTGTGGACCCAGCACCCATCGCAGGTCATGTGATCAGCGCAGACACGCTAGAAGGTACAACTCACCCAGGGAGCCCTTCCTGGGCGTCCGCCCCTGCTCTCCCAGGGGTGGTGACCCCTCTTCTAGCATGCTGACCGGGAGGCGGGGGTGGGGCTGGGAGGGACCCAAGGAGGTGGGTGTGGGGCTATGTGGGGACCCCAAGACGTGATGTGGGGCTGTGATGACCCAGGAGATGTAGGCACTGGGTGGGACCCCAGGAGGTGGGCTGGGAGGGACCTCGGTGTGGTGACGAGGCCGGGGCGCCAGCAGCCACCTTAGAGGGTTTAGGCCCTTTTATCTTTTTGAAGATGTATTTATTTATTGATGTGAAAGAGGACAGAGTGAGATCTTCACCTACTAGTTGCCGTCCTCACACAGCTGCCTGCACGAGCTGCGTTGGGGTCTCCCACACGGGGGCGGCCCAAGCCCTCAGGCTGCCCTGTTGCCCCCCACCAGCTGCATGAGCAAGTAGTCAGATCACAAGTGGAACAGCCGGGACTTGAACCAGCACCCTCAGGGGATGCCAGTCTGGCAGGCGGCGGCTTAATGTGCCTCGCCACAAATACCGGTCCGTTAATTGATGCTATGTTTTAAAACTACGTTATAGGGCTCAGTGCGATGGTGTGGTGGTTAAAATCCTCGCTTTGCGCACGTTGGGGTCCTGTGGTCGCGTTCTTATCCTGACTACCCTGCTGCCACCCAGCTCCCTGCCTGTGGCCTGGGAAAGCAATCAAGGGCGGCCCGAAGCCTTGGGACCCTGCTGCCGCTGCGTGGGAGACCTGGAGGAAGCCCCTGGCTTCTGGCTTCGGATCGGCTCAGCTCCGGCCATTGCGGCTACCTGGGGAGTGAACCATCGGACAGATCTTCCTCTGTCTCTCCTCCTCTTTGTATGTTTGACTTTCCAATAATAATAAAATCTGCATTATAGAACATGTAGAATTTCATTTATTGGAGAGACCTCCAAGACCCCACGGCGGCCACAGCCATGCTGGGCTGGCCAGGAGCTGGGGAGGCTGCGCGAGCTCGGCCGTCTACAGGGGCCCACCGGAGCCCCTCCACACGGGCGGCCCTGGAAGTGCCCGCGCTTCCCAGGAGACAGGAACTGGTTTTCTCTTTTCAATTTTCCAAAACATATTCCACATGTTTGCAAGTGAAGAGTTAGAGAGAAGCAGAGATCTTCCATCCACTGGTTCACTCCCCAAGCGGCCACAACGGCCGGAGCTGAGCTGATCTGAAGCCAGGAGCCAGGAGTTTCCTCCAGGTCTCCCACGCGGGTGCAGGGTCCCAAGGCTGTGGGCCGTCCCGCACTGCTTTCCCAGGCCACAGGCAGGGAGCTGGATGGGAAGTGGAGCTGCCGGGATTAGAACCAGTGCCCGTATGGGATGTCAGTGCTTGCTGTCGGAGGATTGGCCTGTTGAGCCATGGCACCAGCCCCACCAAGGGGGATATTGTACATAATGACCCCACGGTCTCAGGGAAGCCGCTGTGGGCAGGGGCCCCGGGCCGTGGAGCACAGCATGTGACCGTCCCGGGCAGCCCTGGCAGCGCAGCGCCCGGCCGCCGTGGCCCTGCAGGACCTGCTGAGGCAGCAGCTGACCCTGACGCAGAAGTTCATTGAGGCGAGCCGGCACCTGCACGCGTCCCTGCTGCGGTCCCTGGATGCTCACTCCTTCCACTACCACACCCTGGACGACGTCAGAGAGGTGACCGCGGGGGCAGGAGGGACGCACTGGCAGGCCGCCGACTTCCCCTCCCCACCAACTGTATCAACTAGAGAAGCGTGTCCCTTGTAGCGTTCCTTAGTGTAGTTTCAGGCAAGGGTGTACAATGTGACAAATCGCTTCAAATTTTCGCTGTGCGGTGGAGCTGGATGCTGCAGACGGCCTCCCACTGACCGGCTTGCTGCCCGGCTCTCCGGGACACGTGGGCCTCATGAGCTGGAATCCAGCTGCAGTGCCCGAGCCGCCGATGTGACGATGACGGTGGACTCTGCCCACTGCTGGGCCCGGAGCCAGGGGTCGCAGGACACTGCCGCCCCTGCCCAGAGACCATGTCCCTAGGGAAGGGCCCCCGCTGACAGGCTGTCCTGTCCCCCACAGTACATCAGGCGCCACCGGCCGCCGCCGCTGACCATGGAGGACGCGCTGCGCGAGGTGCGGAAGGAGCCCTGAGCGCCTGCCGGGGCCCGAGGACAGTCCGTGCAGGGTGACAACCGCCAGCCCGGGCCTCAGCAGGCGGTGCCCGGGGTGCCCGCTGGCCCCGAAGCTTGGAGCAAGTCTGGGGGCAGAGCCTGGGTTAGGCCCCGCCCCACCGGGGATTTGTACACAGAGGAACAGGGCTTTAAAAAAGGTCTTTATTTGAAAGCCAAACAGTCAAATCCACAAGAAATTGTGAACAGCACGTGTTTCTGCTCAGCCCGACACGCGTGGTCGCGTCACAGCCACCGGGACACTGGGACAGGATGCCACAGCGGCTGGCATGGTGGGGTGCTGGTGTGTGGGGCTTCCTCGGGGCTCGGCTCGCAGCGTGCCTCCCGGCCCCAGGACCCCGGGGCCCCCAAGTCCCACTTCCTGGGACCTCTGCTCTCCGGAGAATACAAAGGCTAACGTAAGGGAAAAACAACACAAAGCCCAAGGCAGCGCCTGCAGCTAAGGGGACTCACCGAGCCGGGCAGTGGGGCCTGCGAGCTTGGGCCCGTCTCTACAGCTAATCGCGGGGTGCTGGGCAGGGACAGCCCGCTGCTCCCCGCGGCCTCCCGCGGTAGGGGTCCTGTGTGGGCGTGGGGGCTCCCACGGTGCTCCCCGCTAGGAATGCGTTATGTCTTCCTTCTCTTCCTTCCGCGCCCCAAACGTGGAGACTGTGGAAAGCGGGCTGTCAGAGGGGCAGGGAGGGTCGGGAGGGCCCCGCAGCCCCCGCAGCCCCCGCAGCCCCCGCACTCACACTCGTCGCGGGCCTTCATGCGGGCGATGAAGGAGTAGCTCTTGTTGCGGCGGTAGTTCTCGTAGGGGTCGTCGAGCGCCACGCCCACGCCCTTGTACTGGTCCCACTTGTCGCGCACGTCGCCGCCCTTGATGGGGTCCTGGATGCCCTGCTCCTTGGCACCCAGGCCGCCGGAGCCGCTCCAGCCTGGGGAGGGCCCGGGGCAGCCGGTCACGGCCCGCAGGGCCCCGAGCTGAGCCCGAGCTGAGCCCGAGCCCTCCCCGACCCCAGCCCTCCCCCAGCCCTCCCCCCGAGCCTCACCCATCTTGACGAGCATCTGGTGGCCCTTGTTCTCCTCCCCGAGCCTTGAGTCAGGAACAGGCGGCGCCGAGTTGGAGCCCAGCCCGGCCGAGGAACTGCAATGGAGACGGGGCGTGCGTTCTCCAGAGCAAGTGGCACAGGCGTTTAGGGGGCCCAGGGAGCCGGGAGTGGGGTGCTCTTACGGTGGCGTGGGGCTCCGGGAGCGTGAGCGGCGCCTCCTTCCAGGCGAGTAGGACTTGGAGCGGGAACGGGAGCGCGAGCGGGAGCGGCTTCGGGAGGAGCGGGACCTGCTGCGGCTCCTGCGGGCGGGGAGGGGGCTCAGGGTCTGGCGGGGCGGGGTGGGGTCAGTGTCGGGCGGGGAGGGGGCTCAGCGCGGGGCGGGGAGGGGGCTCAGCGCGGGGCGGGGAGGGGGCTCAGCGCGGGGCGGGGAGGGGGCTCAGCGCGGGGCGGGGAGGGGGCTCAGGGTCTGGCGGGGTGGGGTGGGGTCAGCGGGTCCCGGCCCGCCTGCTCACCTGGACCTGGACCTGGAGCGGGAATAGGAGCGGGAGCGGGACCGGGAGCGGGAGTAGGAGCCGGAGGACTTGGAGGAGCGCGAGTCGGAGCGCGAGTCGGAGTGGCCGCGGCTCTTGGAGCGGCTGCGGGACCTGGAGGGGCCGCTGCGGGGAGGCCGGGCCGTGAGCACCACAGCCAGAGGGAGGTGGGCCGGCCGCCCCCCAGCCCCGCGCCCCGCGGCCCACCTGTTCCTCTTCTCCTGGCCTTTGCGCCGCCGGGCCCGCATCTTGGCCCGGAAGAACTCGTAGAGGCCGTTCTGCTCCCAGCCCTCGCTGCAACACAGGCCCGAGCTGCGTGGGCACCGGCCCTCCCGTGGGCACTGGTCCTCCCGTGGGCACTGGTCCATCCCGGCCTGCCCTCAGCGTCCCACCCTGGCACTGCTGGGCGCCCCGAGCACACTTCATCAAAGCCCTACCTGGGCCAGCGGCGGGCGCGGTCACCCCTACCTGTTGCGGGGCCTGTCGTGGGAGGGCGGGCTGTAGAAGGCCTCCACGGCCGCCAGCAGCCGCTCGCTGGGCGGCATCGGGGGCGGCAGGCGGATGTCCTTGGGGTCCAGTGCCTTGTACTCGTGATCTTCCAGCTGTGGGCGTGAACAGCCCTCGCTGGCGCCCACCCGGAGATGCCAGCCCACTCTGCGCCCCTCCCTCAGAGCAGCTGGGAACCCTGCCTGGCCCTCGGGCACAGGCCCCCTCCCGTGGCACGACCATGGGCAGCTCGGGGCTGGGACTGCAGGGCTCAGGTGGGCACAGGCGAGGAGGGCCTGGGGAGGCGAGCCTGGCACAGAGCCATCACATACCTTCACCAGAGGCGCCATGAGGCCGGCCGGCAGGTCGAAGTAGGGCACGTTGGGGACCAGGCTGGGGTCATCATGGTTGATGTGGGGCGGGCCCTGCCGTCGCATGTGGGGGGGCTGCCCGTTGAAGCCGTGCGGGGGAGGGCCGAAGTCGGGGTGCTGGGGCCCAGCCCAGGGCGGGTGCTCATTGATGCCCGGGTGTGGCATGCGGTGGCCAGGGTGGTGGTGGGGCGGGCCCATCTCTGCAAGGGTCGAGGTGCGTCAGGGATGGAGGGATCCACCTGCTGGGCCTCGGTGGGGAAGGGGTGGCCAGGCCAGGAAGGGACACTCACCGGCCGGGAAGTCGCCCTGTGGATAGTCGAAGCGGTGCGGGTAGGGTGGCCGCTCGAAGGGGTGGCGCGGTGGGAAGTCGTCCTGCATGAAGCGGGGCGGGAAGCGGTTGAAGTTGTGCGGGTGTGGCGGCTGGTTGAACTGCGGGTGCTGCTGGTGAGGCGGGAAGGGCCCGCGGAAGTGAGGCGGCCGCTGCATGCGGAAGGGCGGCTCGCGCTGGCCACCGCCCCATGGTGGCTGCTCCGGCTGCCCGCTCCAGGGACCCTCAAACTGGTTGTTCCAATTGGGGTCAGGTTGGTTGCTCCAGGGCGCGTCCCGCTGGCCGTTCCAGCCGGGGTCGCCACGCTGCTCGCCCCACATGCCCTCGTGGCTGTTGTTCCAGGGTGGGCAGTGGGGTGGCCCGCCCTGGTGGTGCGGGTACGGTGGCTGCTCCGGAGGCTGCAAAGCGAGGCAGGGGCTGAGCCCTTTGAGGCACAGGGCCCAGCCCCATCCCCACCCACCCCTGCAGGACGTCTGGGGGCCGGTAGGTGCTTTGAGGAGTGGCCTCTGCCACCCCCCCATATTCCCAGCAGCCGCAGCTCTTGGGGTCCCACCCGAAGGCCTGGTGGGGCAGTGGGGGCACACTGCTGGCCTCACAGGGTGAGTGACCCTGCCCTAAGCACAGCCTTGGCACCCAGCACCTGACAGTCCCTGCCCCTGGGAAAGCCCCGTGCTTGCTTCGCCTCATTCCAGGGTGACATGTGTACACATTTGGTGGCCAGTGGGGCCCCCCGCCAGCCCAGTCCCCAGCCTACCTGCTGCTGGCCCCACGGAGCGACGGGGTGGGGCTGGTCGAACCACGGGGGCTTGTTGGGGGGGATCTGGTCGTGGGGCCCAGGGCCCCGGGGGCCGGCGGCTGCGGAGTCCTGCACCCCTCCGCCGTCATACTCATTGGAGCCTGGCATCTGGATGGGGGGCTTGCTGTCATCTGCGGCGGGAGAGGCAATCAGAGCTAGGGCAGCAGGAGGCGCTGTGGGGGCGCCACCCCACGACCCACGCGGAGGTTCTGACCTCCAACATGCCACCCGAGCGATGGCCTTGACCTCTATGTGGCCGACACCAAGCTCCCTGACCCCATCTGACTCGGAACCGGCTGCGGCGGTCCCTGGGAGCAGCAGTATCTCGGGCCGTGTTGCCAGGGACGCTGGCACAGCCCCTCTGGTCTAGGAACCTGGAACCCCCAAGCCCTGCGCCCCCCCGAGGCTCACACGCCAGGACTCTCAGAGCAGGCTCGGAGCCCCCAAGGGTTGGAGAGCCGCTTACCCGGCTGGGTGGTGGGGGGCATGGCTGGGGCGGGGGTCTGGGCGGGTGGTGGGGCCGCTGGTGGCGGCGTGGCCTTGACCTCGGCCTCCATCTGCGGAAGCTGGATCTGCTGCTGCTGGGCCAGGCTGCTGACAAACTCATCGTGCTGCGTCTTGAGGCTCTGGATCTGCTGCTGGAAGGCCAGCTGCACTGGCTGCACCACGGACGAATACTCGCTGATGAGCGTGGCCTGCCGGGAGAAGGGTGCCCGCTGCTCAGAACCCTGGAACCTTCTGGAAGTGTGCAGGCAACGGCCCCGTAGAGCAGCAGGGCCAGTGGCCAGGGTACTCGCTGGGCTGAGGACAGCCGCCTCTGCGGGTCGCTCAAGGCCTCTGCAGGGAGCACAGCACGCACCTGGTACTGGCCGAGCCCCTGGGCCGGGCTCTGTGGGGGGCGCAGGGGGCGTGTGGCTGCCCCTGGCACAGCACGTACCTGGTACTGGCCGAGCCCCAGGGCCGGGCTCTGCAGCTGCTGGATGATGGAGTCATCGAAGTAGCCGTTCTTCTCCCACAGCTGCAGCAGCTGCGCACGGGCGGGCGGAGGAGGAGAGGTCAGGGGGGCCGCAGCCGCCCCGGCCAGCCCGGCACCCACCCCGTGCCCGAGGGGGCACACATACCCGAGCGATCTTCTGTTGCTTCTCCTCCTCCACGGCCAGGAAGCTGGTGCAGTAGATGGGCACCACCACCTTTTGCAGGGCGGCCAGCAGCTCCCGGGCCTGCTTGCGCTGGCTGTGAGGGAGAGACCTTCCGCGCGTCAGGGCCCTGGACGGGACCCGGCCACGCGCCCGTTACCATCGCGGCTCCGGCCACGGCACCCTCTGCCTTCTCCGGGGCGCGGGCCGGTGAGGGAGGAGGGCAGGACTGCAGCCTGCGGGCGGCCAGAGCCAGGGCTCCCCGCTCGCTCCTCGGGCCCCTGCTCTCCCA